ATTCTGTCCTTCCTTTCTTAATAGGAAGAACCAGTTTATCTTGAAGACAGTGCAATGGATGTACACATTCAGTGGCTTAAGCAAGAATATCTGAAAACTCAGAGGAACTGGAAAGAAGTGGATAACAGAATGAATGTGACAATTGAAATGCGGAGAAAGATGATCGGTGATAAGGCACCCTTAAAAGACATTCTTAGACTATTTCCTTTCTTAAGATGCCCTTATCAGGTAATAGCTATTTTTAATAATGACGTTGCATTTCGTGTTATAGATGTGATACAACCATAGGTACATGTTTTACTGCGTGTTTCCAGTGAAGTATACAGCATTGTTCTCTTTAACCTAATTCACATTTTTGCTGTCAACACCACTTTGAAAGATTCACCAGTCCTGTGTTAAATATACCACACACAACACCAGTGCATTATTTGCAGTATTTTGGTGTTACTTGATGTATTTCTTCCTTGCTTTGAAAAGAAATTAAACCATCCCCTCTGATTTATAAACTTTTTTACTGAGCTAGTTTTATTGTGTCTTCAAAGTGGGCATGTTGTGCTGTTTTCAGCTCCCAGGACTGCAATAACACCAAATATTTGTTTCTCTTTTAGCTCTTTAGGGAGTTCCAGCTTCTCACACACATGGACATTTATAAGAAAACAGTTGAGATTTTGGAGATTTATTCAGAAAACATATTATCTTTGTATGCGGTGAGGAACAATCCAATTAACGTTATGCTGCAAGAAAATCTGAAGCGTCACACAGAGCAAGACATTCTGAAATGTCAGTACAAATCTTCCATGCTCTGAATATCAGAGTTTTGTTGTAGCTAATTGTTCTTACTTATGTAACTAAACTAGCTCCAATTTTACTGCAAAAACATATTAAAAATGTCACATTTGCCTGAAAAAATACACAGTGATGAGGAAGCATTAAGAATAAAAGCTAATGAATTACTAGGAAAATTAAGTCAGGTATTGAATCTTCTAATTGAATGAAAGACTGCAGGATAAGTATAGCTAGATGAGCAGTTACGTATTTCTGGATCTGTAAAGGAGTGCTTATTATTTTCTAAAAATACACACAGAAAACAAATTTTCTGCTTTAGAAATAGTCTCATCAGAAGCGATCATTTCCTTTAGAAAGAGAGTTACTGTTTCTATGGGTGAACTCTTCATCCCGGTGAAAGAAAACTAGTAATTACCACTGTGTTTCAAGTGCCTCATGTCTGCAGACGTGTTGCGGGAATAAGTGCACAAACTGGTACCTCTGGTGAGCAGGTACCACAGCCACGCAAAGAGGTCCAGGAACTTCAAAGTGTTCAACTTCCTGGCTGTGAGGGAGTAAGCGCCCACTGCCGCTCAACTTCTTTCAGTCTGAGAAGTCTGAGGAGCACAGTTCTGCAAGGGCAAAACCTTTGAAGCAGTTACTTGAAATCGTTATTCTTCCCAAACTGCAGCTGCCAGTGCCTATGCTTGAGCTTACCTCTGTGAGCTTACTTCTGTGAGAAGTGCTCCTCAGACTGTCATTTTCTATCACACAGGCATAATGCCGGGATGTCAAATCAAAAGTGACACAGTACGAATACATGTGTTTCCTTTAGCAGTTTCACTCCTTTTATTACCAGGCCATTTCTTAAAGAAGCCAGCAGAGTAGGTTAAAATACTGGGGTTTTCTTTCTTTAAGCTTAAAGCCATGAGTACTCAGTAGCTCATGATAGATAAGAAAGTGTCAGCAGGCAGCCTAATCCAGAAAGCGTTTATGGACTTTCTACTCATACCTTTGGCCTTAGAAAGTTATGGATGTAAGTAATTTCCCCTTTTCTTATACAAAGTTTTAACTCAACATCTTAGTAAAGTCCCAAGGCCATTACTTTCCTGTTTTTCTATCACAAACAACTTGACCTGGCACCTAGGTAATAAATGCCTGACAAGACAGGTTCGGTGAAACACATGGCACCTGAAGCCTGATCTGCAAGAAAGATGTTAGAGTCAGTAACAGCTGAACCAGAGGGTAGCACATACCATGTCCCAGGAGGTCCTGCCGTGCCAGCTCATACCACAGCCTTCAAGGTGGAGTCCTCTGGCACCAGGACTCCCCAGAAATGCCTGATTTACTAGGGAGAGTGTGGGCACGGATGGGGGGTGCAGGAGGTCTACTCAGCTTGCAGACTCCAACAGAAGCAACCCAAAGGCCTACTTACTTATTGAGAGAGAAATTTAATTGTAATACTGAGTAGCAGTGCCATGAATTATTTGAATACCCTTTGCCAGCTGAGGTGCCCAAACCTTCACTGTGATACAAGCTACTCTTCAAAATGGACTGAACAGTTCCACTGCTGAGCTGTTAACTATTATGTAGGCTGCAATCTGCTTTTCCAGGGCCATACTGAGGTGCTAGAATGTTTGCATTTGTAATTTAGTAGAAATCCTTGCCTTTGACAGATATGAAAATGACTGCTGCATGTCTGCTCCTGCCAGATGTCTTTGGAGATGATTCCAGTCTGTTTGCTGCTGTGAATGAGGAGGTAGGAGACAGAGCATAGCAGGCTTGGTCTCTCTTCCTTGTATCAGCTGCCTGGGTGCATCACTTGGCCTTCTGGTTGCTCAGCTTAGTTCCTGGAAAAGGTTGACATTAGTCTGTCTTTTGGGTAGATGGCAAATATCCATAGAAATACTAGCTAAATTTAAAAGTTTTGTGTTAGTTAATTCTCTGACCTGTTCACCAAAGTGATGCTGTGGCATCATTTGAAATCTCCTTTTTTTTTAATTTAGGTAAAGGCAGTGACACCAGTATTGGAAGTAAAAAATCCTTTCCACGTGAATTCATGTGAGTTTGTGCTGTATGTAGAAAGAGAAGAGCTAGCCCAGCTCGATGACTGCACCATGGCCCTGGCAGCACTGGTGGCTGCATTTCATGTGTTCGATATCCCGTGCCCAAAGAGAATCCACAGGACACTGAACTTCCTGGAGTCCCTGGTCTTTGAAGTGAGGAGCCCAGCATCCCTGATCACCCAGGTAAAGAGAGAACTGGAGGCACCCAACTATCCCAGTATCTGATGGTGTACACAACACCCCCCTCAGAAGCATTTGACAAATTGATTTTGTCAAAATAAATCCCTCTGTTGTGAAGACAAATCAGTGCCATTCTTTCCGGTGAAAATGTGTGTATAACAGTTACGTTTAATAATGCCTTTTTTTTTTTTTTAAGTTGTACTAGCTGCTTTTTACAACAATTTAAACCTAAGCATTTTCATTACTTTAAATAGAAATTCTAGAGCACTCTAGAGGCATTAGAGATAATAAAATTTTCTAGACTACTGCATGTGTCATGGATTATTTTTCCATACGGAGCATTTGACAAATTCAGATAATATTTTGACCCTCAGAATGTTAAAAACCACATTGTGAGCGAATGTGAGCACTTCACTGCTTCAGATGCTAATACAGTTAATGTTTTGAAGTGGCACAAATTAAAGATTTCCTTTTTACCACCATTTCATTATACTATCATCACTAAAAGCCTACTATAATAATTTTTGTATTTTAAAATGGTGGGCCTGATTTTTAGTTTGCAGGAAGATAAATTTCTAGTATTCTCCCCATGCATAACACCTTTTTATTTTTACATTACTCCTGAATTTGCTAAATAAGGTTTCTAAGATGAGTTCTCAAAGTAGCAAGAATGACTTATCTGAGATGCTGCCATGTGTGTTTGTAACCACAGCTTTGGCGCTGGGGAGAGAATGCCTCATTTTCCTGAATTTGTTCCCCAGAACAAATTGGCCTTCTCCACATGGCGACTATGTCTGCCCCCACAGAGCAGAGGCCCTCTCTTCTATTCTTCCACAGCCTCCTTTTCTCCCTAACACACTCCTCCTAACTCCTGCATGTCTGGAAATCCCAGGGGCTACTGCCTGACAGTGCATGGCTTTTGGACAAACACCTAGTGATGGACAGTAGCAACAGCCCAAACACAACTCATTGCATGGAATTAGAAATCAAAACGGATTTTTATTAAAACATTGCATTCTACCAGAGATCAATCTCCTACCCGTTCTAAAAACGCCTGTGCGGGCAATGCAGTGTTTGGGGTCACCACCATTCTTTAAACACTCAAACACACAGCCTGGAAGACCACAGCTGTCTTGTTAAAGCTCAGCTGTGCAGCCGTGACTCCAATGCAGAGACTATGCTGGGAGATCCTCCAGGATAAGGGGAGCTCATTGCATCTGATGGCCAGGCTCTCTTACTGAAGTCTTAGTATTTTTCATGTGGCTCCATGGAATTAGGGGACAACTTTTACCTGTGTGACAGCTGGGCTACCTCCAACACAACATACAAACCAACAGCTGTTTTAAAAATTCAGTAGGTGTCCTGAGTGGTTTTAGTTTCTAAGTAAGTAAATTTGCTGGGCATAGTTTTTGTAAGAGAGGTGGTTACGCTCTGCTACTTCATCGCATTGGATACAAAAGTAAGGATTATGCATGTCCTCACTGTTGTGATAGCTGTATAAATAGGTTGGTCTCTGTACCATTTAAGTGAGGTTTATTCTAAATTTTGTGGATAGTACTAACTCAAACCCATTTCTTAAACCACAATACTTTGTAAGTAAATATATAAAAATTCAAGGAGCTGCTAACACCTCCAAATAATCTCTGTCAAGCAGCAAATCTCTTCACTGGTTCTCACTGCAGGCTACAGAGCTGGCTCACATGAGAGACACTGAGGGTGAGGGAAAATAAAACTATATGGAAAGACAGAAGAAAAGAAAACAGAAGAATGTGGCATTTGACTGATCTGCATGGGCAACTTCAGGTGCTGCCAGTGACTTTGTCCAGGTCCACAAACGGCCTGTTAGCCTTAGGAGTTAAGCGTTTAGGGGGAGGACAGACAGCAGTAGCCAAGTTCCTTCTTTAACTCATGGCCACATTGAGCTACAGTGAGGAATTACTTGGGTACAGCTGGGTTCATCTGAAAATCCTGGGCACACACACATACAACAGACAGCTCCAGTTCAGGTTTTATTTGTAATGTAGTACAATAAGAGTGCAATTTGAATGTACAAATATTGAACAAAATGTAAAAAACATTATGCAATGCTATGGAAGGAAATTAACAGAGCAATGCAACTTACTTCATACTGACCCTGTTTTACCTCCTATTATGGCAGGTACCAATCACTTACATGATCTGGAAAGGGCACAGAGTGTTCTTGAAATCTTAAGGAACTCCAGCCAAAGAACAGCCAGGCAAAATCTGTGGGAAGATGCAAAATTCTCCCAGCTCTGTGCAACGGAAATGCTGTTTGTTCTCAGCTCTAAAGGCTGAGCAACTGCCCACCACAGCACTAAGAGGGCTGCCAAAAATCCTGATCCAACTCTTCTCTTTCTTGCAAAAGTAGTATTCTGGAACAGTCTTCAGTATACACATAGCTAGGCTTTCTCCCATTTAAAGTGCATCTGGTTTACATCTTATATATACCAAGTGCAACAACTTTCCCTGACAAATCGTTACAATAATCCTCCAAGAAGGAAGGTTGCCTCACCTAAGTACTTGCTGACAGCATTTGCAGCCTGCTAATGACCCAGTAAAATGCATGCATTTTACACCTAGAATGTGCTGATGCACCATATGCGTTTAAGTATCCTTTTCCTCCACGCTTTATGTTTCCCCCTATGCCTTATTTGTTTATAATCAGACTTTCCAACTAGGAAGTAGTGGGTGAAATAGTTCTTCACCATTGGGAAAACAAACTTATGTTGAATATGAAGCCAGAGTAGCCATCCTACCTTTGGCACCCTGGTTTTCTCCACTGTTGTGGTAACTACACTGGAGACTGGCACATGCATACATGAATGATTCTACCTTCTTTTTTGCTAATGTCCTTACCTCAATATACATGTATTTTCCTTGATGTGCTAAAGGACTGTAGTAAGTTTCCATGTGAAAGGCTGGGACTCTATTGTGCAGCATTAACAAAAAGTCTTCTATGAAGTCAAAGTTTATTTTTCAGTTGCAGCCTTCTCTATACTGATATTTTGGTAAAATACATTAAAGATGCTGGTGGAAAAACTCACATAACATTTTTGTAATCGTGCAAAAGTAAAAACATTCAGTTATCAAAAAAGTATTATAATTTCAACCTCAACAAGGTTTGTTTTGTTACAAGCAAACGGACATTTTTATAATCTGTAAAGTTATATGCTGTAGCATAAAGTGTCACATATGTAACATTGTGTTTCATTTTTAAATTATGGCACATAGGTATTAGCCATAACAGTCTCATCTGGCTACCTGTAGCCTAACTTTTGGCTATTCAGGTTTTGTTTTATAGTATGAAGTAAAAGCTTCTGAAAAGTAAATGGGTACATGAAGTAAATTTAAGAATTCTTATAAAATATTAACATTCCCTTATATAATACAGCATAAATAATTCATGAAGGTTTTCTTGATGTCCAGAGAAACTTAGGGATCCTAACCATCATTGGAGAACTAGCGCCATCAGTTTGGTAAATAAGACTAGCTGACTCGGTTGTTAAACAGTACCTTCTCAAAAGCTTGAACAGTTCCCAGAAGGATTCAAATGTTTACTGGCTCCAGGAGAATATAAACAGTTCACCAGTGCTGAACATATGTTTCTTCCTTTCTGAGAGTCCTTAGTCAATAGTTCTAGCAAGTCTTTGTGCTTTGAATAAAACATGAACTCCAGTGGAGAAAGCTGACTCCGTACACATTTCCATTCTCTTCAAAGTTCATTGTGTGAGTTTTTCTCTGCAGCTTTGAACATCAGAATGGAATTAAAGATTTTTAGGGCTGGTCCCAGTTTAATGCTCATTATTTTGACTATGTCTGATTGGGTCATTAGCAGAAACGCTTCTCCATCAATTTGCTGGAAAAGAAAAAACACAATGCTATCAATAGGTCTAACAGTGCAGCAGTATAGATGTTTCAGGAAACATGAAAATTCTTTAATTTCAGACAGCGTAAAGGAATGGCTAAATACAAACACTTTGAAATGCTTTCAGGATAGCTTTGATTTCAACCTTTTAGAGAGATCAGCTAGGCTAAAAGAACAGGATGATGATCATCTTTCTGCCTGAAAATAATTGTTTGGCTAAATTTTAGCTAACCTGTTCTTATTTTCATACTGACAGTATAAAGTAAGAGCTACTGACAAAATGGATAAATGAAATTATAAATTCAACTGTACGGCAGCATCCTAAGGCTTTTTAACATCTTAGCTGCTCCTTTTATGCAAGCCTTTGTAAGAGAGCTTCTGGATTTCACTCCCAGCTACAGAACTGGAACCCCCTTCAGGCCACCCCTTTCTGTTAATTAAATAGCAACATAAAACAAATTTGGTCCCAGATGTAAACAAGGGCCAGGCTACGTATAACTGCTTCTTTGACACAAACACAGCTTGTCAAAACACTGAGTATTTTTATTTACAAAGCACTGAGTATTTTTATTTACAGCTTTGTAGCGTTACTATTTCAATAAATGTTGCAAGTGAATACTCTGTAAGCAAATTTCTCAGTCAGCAGGAGTGATAAATCTGAACATGAAGAGCCACAAGGCCCTCACATCCAAGGGCTTCAATGGGGCCAGCACATCTTGTGTCAACTTCAGGTCACTTCAGGTATCTATAGTAAGTTTTCAGTGTAACCTAAGCAGGATATCAACAGTGGTTATATCAGGAGCACTGCTTAGTCTTAGATACTAATCAGGAGCACTGCTCCTACTAATTTGAGATAAAACCAGTGTGTAACTAAGTTTCTGTAGGACTGAAAGACAAGCTTTCAGAATCAGGCATGATGCAAAGGGAAGCCTGCTAGGTACATCCCAGCACTGTAAGTCAAGGAGCACTGAAGTGAGAACAGCATCACGCAGTTACCACAATTAGTTACTACTCATTTTGTGCACAAAGCCAGACTGGGTGGGCTCTGAACCAGAAGTGTGTGAATGTGGGAGTGCCCAGCTTTTTGCAGCAATTAATACAAGGAGGATAAGGCTTGATTTCCACAGCGAAGTTTGAACCAGCACCTTCTACCTATTGAAAGAACTACTGATGCCAGCTAGTCCACACCAGTTAGTCTCACTGGTAGAGGTTTAATCTACTACTCACAGACAAAGCACAAGAGGCTGAATCCTGAAGATGGGAAGTATTTTCTTACACCTCTGAGAATAAAAATGTTTAGGATTTATCCGTCTCTCTGGCACTTCCCACCATGTGACTTGATTAGTTATATGCCAGCTTTTATTGATCTTAAATTAATTGGTGAAACACCCTAAATGACACAGGGGACAATCTAGGCCTGCATACCTGCTGCAGCTGTAGAATGCCTAACATCAAAGCAAGTGCAAACAAAATGCCCAGAGATCACCTGTCAATCCTTTGATATGCGACTGTAAGAGTCATTCTGATTTACAGCACAGCCTGAAAATTTCTTGAAGGAGATTAGCAGGGCCATCTGTATGCATTTTCCTCAGGAGGTGCTGAGTACCAATTATTCTTCAGTTGAAAGGCTGGCTGACTTGGGATACTACAGTATCAGACTCTGCCCATTCAGGTGGTCTGGCTGGAATAAACACCTGAACTATTCACAACATAGAATCATAGAACAGTTAGGGCTGGAAAGGACCTTAAGATCATCTAGTTCCAACCCCCCTGCCACGGGCAGGGACAACTCACACTAAACCATACCACCCACGGCTTCTTCCAACCTGGCCTTGAACACCGACAGGGATGGAGCATTCACAACTTCCTTGGGCAACCCATTCCTGTGCCTCACCACCCTCACAGTAAAGAATTTCTTCTTTATTATTAACTTATTAACATCCTGCAGAACTAAAGTAACATAAAACTAGGTAAGTATCAGATAGGTCTCTTTCTGTTTTGAGAAAGTTTACCTTACTTCCTTCCCACTTCATGCAAACCAACCTAATCTTTCATCTATTTGCGTTTGACTTTAAACATGCAATTCATCCTACTACTTTATATCTGTTTTTAATGATGACATAAAATTAATCTTTTCACCAAGATCTGTACTCTGTGTCTTTTTGAAATAAAATTCACCCACCTCATCTTTGAACACCTTCCCATGTTCTTCACATCCCGGTAAACTCCGTATAAATTCAGAGACCTGCCATCAAAGTATACAATAAAAGATACAGTGAAACCGATGTTTTCTCAAAATAGTCTCCAAGGCTGACAATCATTAAAAGTTTTCAGCTGCTGTTTCACAGCCTCATGTTAGGTGCTCCACCTTCTTCTGTAAGTACATGGAGTCATGCAGCTGGTTGTTTAAGGACAGGATTCACAAAATCCACAAACTAGAAGAGCACATGCCACTTTTTTCCACAAGACATCTAAGAGTAGGATATGGCTACTCCCTCAAAATTACTCATATTGTTCTATCCATGCAGATCCAGAACAATGGATCTTCTCTCAGTGAACCACTTCTGACAAAACGTTTGTTGCCTTCCTCTTTATTTTCCACTGCACAGAGATTAGTAAATCCTTTTTCAAACTTCACACTTATTTTTTCTCTGATTAGAGAAGGTCTGATTGTCCCAATGGAGAGAACTGCCTTAGTTACAGGTAATTCTGAAACTAAATCAGGGACTGGACCCTGTCTGTCCAAGCATTATTACATACTTGAACAGCAACAGAACTCTAAAATCTTGAAACCATGATTTTAAGATTTTAATGAGAGTCATGGCCTGACCATATCCATGCAGTTCCCCTTGCCCTATATTCTCACCCTCCAAAACAGTGTGCCACATCAAAACTATGCACCAGGAATAGCTCCTTGGTCCATGCTGACACTTAAACTATATCTCCAGAATACCTGTGTGGGTACTAGATGTTTTTAGTGTAGACCTTGGGCACCTGATCTGCTGGGCCATACGTCGTTTAGCTTTTTCTCTTTTTTCTTTCTTTTCCTTTTCAACCCCAGTGAATATATATATATATATATATATATATATATATACACACACACACACATATTTATCTCTGGCTATACAGAGATTAATAATTACTGATTCCAGGGCTGAATGGCAGCCACTGGGGATCTGTTGTATTAGGTCTGGCTGACTCTAATCCTCTGAAGTACTAATTCATTATTGCTAATCTAAGCCTCTCAATCAACCAAGACTTCCCCAGGGCAGTAGTAGTGAGACAGAAGATACAGGCGAACCTACCTCATCTGTACTCCACTTAGAAACTTTACTGGCTGGGATTCCAGCTACACTTGGAAGGAGTTTGCTCTGCTGTTCCCAGCGCAAAGGTAGCCCGGGGATTTGCAACTTGGAAGACACAATAACTGGTTGAGAAAGAAGCCTCTGTGTGCTGGGCTCTTCAACATCTTCAATAAGAGAAAGCAGCAACAAGCATTATATCACTCAGTGATGTGATCAGTTACAGTAAAAGCATGTTCATTTCTGTTGGTACATGTGGGCCTCCTTATACAGGCTGTGCAGTTTTGCTTACAGCAGAATTAGAGTAGCACCATGACTGTTCTTCCACTAGAATGACTGTGATTACATTGGCTCTATATAAACGTAACTACTCTTACATGGAAAAAGTCTCTTCCAACACAACACAATTCTATGCCAACACAACTGTTGGTATACCACACTATAGGTCAAATAATTTTAAATATTTTGATACATTAAATCACACCTACATTTAATAGCTGTACAGCAGTACAAGAACTAAGTTATTCCAGGGTTAAGCTTCTATAAATTCATCAAAAGCAGCACTGCACTGTTACAAAATTCCAAGTAAATCAGTTCTAGCCCACACAACATCTATGCCTCATCCACAATAACATGCTTTTCACTGCTCCTGAGAGAAAAGAAAAACAACACAAATGTCCGTAAATTCCCTGCTTCCACTTTAACTGTTTATTTGGAAAATAACATTTAACTCCTCCATGCTGCTCTGGGCTGGATTTTTTTTTACAAGGTCATTTCCCTTTTTATCTCACTTATCCATGGAAGGAATAAGCTCCCATCTCACTCGCCTCAAAGGTAATGTACTGGTGGGAGGGTGGCTTCAAACACATGCTGCTGTTGCTGTCTGGAGAGCAGCAGCAGTTGCAGATGTGTGTAGGAGGAAAGAGTGAAAAGGCATGTCTCCAATGATGCCAAACTGCGTAAGACATCTACAGTCATTTAGATCCATGGCAGATACAAAAGCAAGATGCCTGAATGTTTCCCAATTGCAAGTAAAATTGTGGAAAAACTGAAATTTATTTCTGAATGAAACAGCCAACAAAGAACCTATGCCTAATATTCTTTACTAACATGGCTTCATGCAATCACTCACAAATCCCTGCACTATTTTTGTTTGGATCGTTCATGTCTATTACAGCTCCATTCTATTTCCATTTTTGGGAAGTTTCTATAATTCACAGTTCTCCCTATCCTTACTGATCAAGTTTTCTTACATTTCTGTCCAACAAGTAGGGCACAAATTCCTATTACAGAGTTTTCCCAGCACAGTGGGACTGATCTAGAATATGTATCATGTGGCCAATATAGGATATGATTACATTCATTTGCGTTATTCTGCTCCTCCCGCTTAAATTTTTGTTACTTCCAGGATTTATCCTCATTACGTATGAAGGTTGATCATTCAGAAGTTGACCCTTAAGCCATTTAGTCAGTATTGTCAGCCAACTGATTAAACTTTTTTAGAAGACTCATTTTTTTTCCTAGCATCATACTCTTACCACTAATAATGTTCATTCCCTTCTGTGTGTTTTAGCTCCTTCCATGTATCAGGTTAAGCACAGGATTTGTGTCTGTAAAAAAAGCTAGTATGAAGCTATGATTTCAGTGGAGTTCTTCAGCTCCAAATAATTTTTCTTCAAAAAGGGTAGAGAGCAGTACACATTTTACAAAGTATCAACAGAGAATTGGTCAAGTAAGTACGGCAAAAGTAGTTTGAAGAATAATGTGACATGCAGAAAAAAAAAAAAGGGCAAAAAGCACAGGTACCAGCAGTCACAGTTCAAGAATGTCTGCACAACTGCAATTATTTTAGCTTGACCCTTCCACGACTATGGTAGCAAGAGCTCAATAATCCCCTTTCATCCTAAAGATTAAGTATTGTGGCACATTTAAACAAATAATGGCACAAAATTAAATGTATGAGAAGAGGTTAAAAGGATAACTTTGTTAAACAATAATGTACAAAAGTATTCTAGTTTTATAAATATAATTATGCAAGACTCTACACAGAAATGTATCCAGACCTTGTTGGTGAAACTTTAGCCAAATAGTCAATTTTGTCAAACTCAAAAATGCTTCACAAAACCAGGCCAGTTTTCTTAGAATAAAGAAAAAATTGCAGACAATATGAAATGCTCCAAAGTATCTGATTTTAATTTTTCTTTATTGTGTTATATAACATAAAGTCAAGATCAAACCAGTATATTTCCATTCTGCTGAAACAAAATACTTCAAAAACCCCAAACTCTCTTTCCTTCATCTACTTTTGAGAGATTCCTCTTTCAATGCTTCATTTTCTCCAGAATTCTGAACTACATGTTTCAGAATACTGTAAAAACTCGGATTTTTTTACACCTTTTGCACAGCTCTTGTAATAGACAGTCTTTCATACTTCACATACTCTTCAAAGTGCCTCTTAGATCTATCTGAAAAGTACTCACAGACAAATGATGATTTAAGATAAAAAAAAGTATCAGAGTTAAATAATTAAAAATAAAATGCTACCCTAATTTCATCTTTATGCAAAGCTCTACTAGCCTTAAAGAATTTCCTAAGCTTTACAAGACTGAGCTCACTTAAAAGGTAAGAAATGCAGCCCTTTAAGAATCAGTGTTACTCAAATCTGCAGATTTTTCACAAAAGCCTTACAAATTTTATGTTGCACAACAAATTGCTGATGAAAACAATCTAATCATTTAAGGAATTAATTATGAAATTAACAAATTTAGCTTCTCACTGAACTTGCATGAGTTAATAAAATTACTGCAGGAAAAACTGCACTGAAAAAACGCATTGACTCAGTCCAATAACTAGTCTGACATACAAAGTTTCACACATGCAAAGTAACTTAAGACTGTGATAATTGTTTAGACATGTATGACTGAGACGTTCTGGATTTGTGCTGTATTCTGTCTAAACAATGAGGATAGAAATGAATATGAACAGCTACCTCAATCTGTCCAACTGGATCACTGAACAGCCAAGACTTTGAACACAGCAGTCCACACAACCAGGCAGAATCACTGAACCAAAGAAAAGTCCATGTTGGAAGGGACCTTTGGAGACCATACAATGCAACCTTCTATTAAGAGCTGGGCATTAGGCTAAGTTACCCAGGGCCCTGCTGAGTAAAGTCCTAAATAGCTCCAGCAAGAGTGGCTCTCTCTTTTCACAGCAGCCTATTCCAATTGTTCTCATGTTGAGAAGTTTCTTCCTTAGATTCAGACAGAATTTTCCCTGATGAAACTTGTGTACATTTCCTTTTGTCCCACCACTGTGACTCCTAGAGGAGAGGGTACCTCCCATCTTCTCTATAACTACTTTTTAGTTACTGGAGGACTGTGACTAGATTCATCCAAGCCTTCCCTTCCCAAACTCCTTCAGCCTTTCTTCATATGTCAAGTCCTTCAACAACCTAATCATCCTGAGGGCCCTTCACTGGACTTTCTCCAGTGAAATAAAAATCTTAGCTATCCCTCTGTAACACATTAAAAAGAAAGGGCCCATTCTGCATATCGGCTGCTAGAAAGTATCAGACTGCACAACAGGCTGATGCTGGGTTGAGTAAGTCACCTTAATTTTGCATTATGCCTGTAATGTATAAATGCTTTAACTTTCAGTACACATCTGAAGCAGTAAGTGAACATTACACCTTTACAACTCATACTAGTTAAATTACCTATTTTTAAGTCAGTGGAAAGCTATTCTTGAAATTAAACTTTCTATATCAGTACTTATTTTGCACTTATCTTTACAAATGTGATAAAGTTTTTGGCAAAGCCTTTAATGATTACAAGATAAAGAAACATAGCATTAAAACTGTGGCTGTCAAGAAATTTTGGACACAAATAGTGAATGTGGAAAATAAGTTTCAATGCAGTTTTATAGAGACTTTCAAGAAATATCACACTTCTTTAGTTCTGAAAATTTTAATATGAAACAAAAGAAATACTGCCAATTTACCTTTAATTTCATTTGAAATGAGCAGCTTATTTTCTGTCTCCTCCTCTTCACATTCTTTGTTCTTTATGGAGTCCTTCATTTGTAGTACTCCACTGAGGAAAATATAATGTTCATTTTTTATTAATACATCATAAAAATCACTAAGCACGATGACATCTCTTGCTAATAATGCCATTTACAAAACAGGATTCCCACACAAAGAATGTTTTATCATCATAAAGTAAAAAAAAAAAAACAGAGAGGATCTAATTTCTGGTAAATGGCATGACTACTGACATGAAGTTTGCAGTGAAGGCTTGAGAACAGTATAGATTAAGATTATGTAAATCATAGCAACACAGAACTTCATAACTGAAACTGGAAAATATACAAATGAAGGCAGGGGATGTGTCCATAGCAGAAGATGAGAAGAGTGAAGAACACACATATAGATCCATCTCCTACAAAGCCTTACTGGCTATCTGGGCCATTTTCAGGAGATGCCTGAAACAACATTTACTCTTTTTCTCTGCCCAACCTTCGTCTCCACCCTACCCCAACTCCTGTACTATACTGACACTGTTGTGTAACTGCTAATGATACTGCTGACATTATCTGTATTCGTTACTGGTTTGGCATTACTTCTTACCCAGCTAAAACAATTGCTCTTACCCCTGGTGCCTGTTGCTGTTCCCTCAGCTTTGCCAACCTAAGCATTTCAACGAGGGAATGCCTTTCCCCTACTGAGAAAAATAAGGCAAGAGAGCTGGAAATAAGAGAATTTCTCAAAGGGGGTGTGGGTGTATTTGCATCTTAAAGTCAGTTCCTGGGAAGTTCCTCTTCAAACTCTGCCTTCAGAAGTTATTTCCAGCCTTGTTTCTTACAAAAATTAAGCTTACATGAACTTGCTGACATTATGTGTGTATTTCCTTCTGCTCTGAAGAACCTGATAACACTTTGGACAATTCTTACTAAACCATCACATATCCAAAGCTCTCAGAGATAGTAACTGCATAATGAACATTCTCTAAAACCAGGCACCAGACAAGAATGACGTTAAAGTGTAGACTGCAAGAAAGCCCACTACATGAGCCCCATGCTTTACCATCTACCAGAGAAGCACTCAACAAAAACCCCTTCACACATGTCCCAAACACAGATAAAAAGCCAAACTAGAGCTAACACTTTGCTAGACATCAAGATTAGCAACCCTCAAAACACAAATCCACAGAAGAAACAGGCCTTTTTAATTCAATTGCTTACATCTATATTATTAAATACTATTTATACTATTAAATATAAGTAAATATTTGGGAATAAATCAGCAAGTTCACCAACATCAACAAAAATCTATTTAACACACTATTAATGGTGCTAACTGAACACAACAAATGGAAAAATACAGCCTTTGTAGTATGGTAGGATACAAATAATAAAGGTGTGACAAGCAACGCCAGTGGAATGCATACAGTGGCATGCCTTCTTGTGCTGCAAAGGACTTCTCCACCATCACTTCCTCAGAAGTAACACCTCATTTATTTACTCTGAAATTATTTCCCTAAACTCCACAGACACAGAAAACTTTTAAAGTAAGATGATACAAAGTAGTGCAATTAATTCCAAAGCCAAACAAAATGATTACTGTAATTCAACATAAAGAAGAGATATCACCAAAACCTGTGAGGAAACATGTATCCTCCAATTTTCTTTAGGACAATTTTCACAGCAACATATAACCAGAAATTTTATCTCACTAAATACAGGACAGTGTCATGAGCTGAAGGTTCTAGGGAAGGGGTTGGAAGATAAATGGTATTTTCTTTTAAGAGGTAGCACCATTTGATTATCAAGCCTAAGTGTTCACCTTCCTTCATTGTAAGCATTTCCACAGTGGAAATATTATAACAGTGAAATTCTTTTGCTACTCTGAAGATAGCATAAAGATACTTTCAAATTAAAATTGAATATGCTGCAGGCATGTGATTTTTATCTTGAATTTTAATCTCAGGAACATGCCAGAGGGACAGACTGCAGTTTTTACACATGTATTTTTGTAAACCAAAACTTTCTGGTATAACTGCTTGTGAGTACAGATACCTCTGACTTGTTAAAAAAAAAAAAAAAGACAAGAGAGACAAGGAGTGAACTGGAACAGATTAGCTGAGTACCATTTAGATGTAACTCAAAAAAGTAAATCTCATGGTTGGGTTCATAAGTAGTTTGTTCCTCAAACAAGGACTTGTAAGAAATAAAAGATTACCTGGAATATGAAGGTATACACAACTGTAATGAAGTCAAACATAATTAAATCCACACTACAAGCTCAGCAGCTAAAGAGCACACAAGTTATCTATGTCTTCTATGATGCATGTGTACTTTGAATATACATCTAAAAAGATCCAGTTATCTATGTCTTCTATGATGCATGTGTACGTTGAATATACATCTAAAAAGATCCAGAGTATTGCAATAACTAGATGTTAAATATTTGTATATGTGAACTTTAGCAGTTCACATATACCTAATTTTGTGAACACTATTTTTCATGTCTTTTTCAAAGGAAGTTTATTCAACTGGAAGTCCTTTCTGACTATACTGGATACATAAGGAATGTGGAAAGCTAGATGATAAAATGCGTAGTCATCAGTGTATTCAAACAGTTCAAATAGTGACTGCAAAGCCTCTGGGGAGTTCAAAGTTGGCACAAGGTTGTTATTCTCTTAATGTAAACGACTCAATACAGTAAATGACTCAATACAGTGAACAGACAGCACAGATACTGCTTATTTTAGGTCTTCATAATGATACTACCCTCAAAAAAAATGAAACAGAAAAAGAATTGTTTTTCAATTAATTTTAAGAGATAGTCTGTGAAGTCAACTTTTATTTCTAAAAAAAGGTGAATTTACTACAACTGTTAATTTACTACAACCGGTTAAAGTGATGAACAACAACTGCTATTTAATACAGGTTTTCAAAACTGCACATGAAACTGTCTTTCCGCTGTTTAAATTCACTTGAATATGACAAGTGAATGCTGTTTATTTGACTTACAGAAATTATATCAACACTGCTTGATGTTCCTACTAGATCTTTTCCAATAGAATTTTCAATATGAACTCTCTCAAGTTTCTCAAGACACTACTACTGCTAAAAACTACAGTTCATATATTATGAATGCATGAAAACGTGGCCAACATAAATATGTAAGAAATGACACTTCTTGATCCAGTGTCTTCTATTTCTGCATAAAAAAAGCCAATAAAATAATACACTGATACTGTAACTAATTAAAAACATAGAGAATCCTAATGACTCACATATCCCCATGAAAACACTGAATTGCATCTTTCTAGTTTCAAAGATAGTCTTCTTATACTGTAAATATTATTTTTCAGTGAAAGCTTGGAAATTATCTCATGTCGTTTTCTGTCAAAAAGATACTCCAAATCCTGAGAGTTAAGGAATTACTTTTCATTTTTAAATATATGTACATATCTGTACATATACAATAACATTTCTAGAAAGGTAAGGAAGAAAAGGATCTCAATTTCCAATACTTTCTCTGTCTTGAAGTATTTTTTCTCTCCTCTCTGATATGCATTTCTTATTTCTTAAATACATTGTGACACTCCCTTCCCCCCTATTTCTAATATAAAGACAGCTGAAGAACATACATCTCCTTCCCCACGGCTTCCAAGAGTCCCATGGACAAATATCACTGTATTGTATTGCCTGGTAAGTTGCATTTTAAACTGACTGACTCAAAACAACCCATACTTTGAAAGGAACCAACAGTTACCCAGGTGCCTTCTTTTCTTTCACATCACATAGTAGGGACTTCTTGCAAGGAGATTTACTTTCTGCTTCTTCCTGCTTAGTTGTTTCTGGCATGGTTTTCCCAGATGATCGATTGTGAGCTGAAGATTTCAAACCTATGTGACCAGGGCTGGGGCATTTTCTATCACTGTTTAAAACAAATTAACAAAATGTTTAAAACTCCAGCAGTTGTTTTTCACCTTATTTTCTCTATGGGTAAAGTATCATTCATGTAATTGACATAAAAGAGTTTCGTTCATTTGTTTTAAGAAATACACAGAAGTTTTTCATCTGCCACCAACAGAAATCACAATACAGAACTTTCTTCTCCATGAAATCAAAGGTAATACATGTAGGCAATTCAACAGGAACAGAATTTGCCTAATGTCATTTCTGATAATAAGCTATCCACTTCAAATATTTGTAACACAACTCGAAAGTATCATTTTCGTCTATACATTCTCTCCCTTCCATGATATAGAAATGTGCAGCCACAACACATGTAGTCTCTTACTTGCGGCAATGAAAAAAATAGCACTTGACATAGTCCCTGCCACGCATAGCACTTCCCACTGTTACTGGCTTCACTGGGATGGAACCTGGGCTACCTGTCAGAGCACAATTAAGTCATTTCAGATTTCTACAACCCTACATTTGTAAGAACAATCAAACCAGGCAGCACTGTGACAGATGAATATTTTGGTTTTTAAAGCATGAAGCTGAACCTGTGTCCAAGAATGTAATTTAAATTACCATCTATTGAAAATATGTGGTCATTACAATAAGAACTGGAAATCTTCAGTATAAACATTCACATTTACATTAACGCAGCACTTTAAAAGAATGGAGAGACTCTCTTCTTTTCCTTTTCTTCTTAAATTCACTATGCATCCCCACAGTCCAAAATAAGCACAGGAGTCAGTGTCCGTAATTTCTGATAGAAAATGTTAATCTGAAAATCATTATCTTGATATCACATGCCTTTGTTTTTTTCCCAGTGTTCTTCCTAAAAGCTTCAGCTACAGAATTTAACACGGTTCTTGCAAAACTAACTCCCAGTAATTTGATTTCCCACTTCCACAATAATGACAAAATTTATAGTGGCTATTCTTCAAAGCGCAACATTAATTTACAGTCATGTCAATAAGTCCACCCCAGCAAGCAAAAGAAATTCAAATAAATAATTTTCTTACGTGAAACCAATTGGCAAACACTCCGTTTTAAATTCCAATCAACCACTTAGTAGTCCAGACAGTTATACTGAGGGTGAAACTGAATACTTGTTAAATCATACACAGTAAAATCAGTGCCAGTCTTTGACACCTTGGTGACCTTTTTGATAAGCACTGAGGAAATAAGCAGGCCTTTCTGAAACCATTTAGCCATTACAGAACCCAAATTACATTAAAGAACACTGAAATAAAGTACTGTGTTAGTCACAGACATCGCTTCAGTGGTAATTACTTGATTACAGGAGAAGTGGATCTTTCACTTGCTTCCACTTTTCTGTTTCTGGGGACAGGACTGGCTGCAGGCATCTCCCCGCTCAACCGATCAGGTAAGAGGCTTTCTTTGTTCAAGTTCATCTCTGAATACGGGCAGCTGACTGCACTAGAAGTTTAAGAAGAGAAATGCCTCCTTATTGTCAGTTCACTCAGTTCAAATGAAATAACATCAGAGACCAGTTTTCTATAAGCAGTTGCAATCAATTAATATAAAGAAGATGAGGGGGGAAGAAAAGCAGTAAGTAGTCATACTTTAAAATGTTAATAAACCTCGACCTGAAAGTTTTTCACCTTTCCTTTCAACAGCAACTTATAAGTCAAACTGTATTAACTTGTATTACAGCATACAATCTGGAAAAGTGATGAATGTTTAGCCTGGTTTTTCATACCTTTAATAGCATTATATACATAAAATACAGGTTGCCTTTGACTATACCCTCCTGTCTCCAAATAAAGTCATATTCCCATGGTTACTTTTGCTGTGAAGGAGGGTATTTCTATTCTGTATGTCCACAAAGCAGCTGTAGCACAAGGGCACAGCATGAGGAATGGTGCACATCCTCTTACTGCAGTGAATGCCCCATCTTTGCAAATGCCATTTTGTGATATTCCATCAAAAGACACTTATTTTCACAGTCTTTCCTATCATCCAGCACTCCCTATTTCACTGCACTCCAGCTAGGGAAAGAGAAAATTTGACACTGTGCATTGATGTAATGACTTGTAAATGTGGTGTACCTCCTAAAGTCAGAAAACCTGCATTTGCACAAAAGGTAGGAAAGGGGAGAACAGAAAAACAAAACACATGGGCTAAACTAGGATCTTTTCTTTAGAAGAATGGAGTGTTCAACTGATCAGTCGGGCTACCTACTCTCAATTCAATGATAATAGCCTAAACTCTGAAAGGGGTATATGTGCCACAACAGTGAATAACAGCATGCTCAAATTTTCAGATCTCTGTTTAAGATACAGGAGAGGCTGTACTAAACATGATGCTCTGTTTAGTACCTGGCTCATGAGGTATGACAGGAGCTATAATGTAACATCATGCTTTCCTACTTACCTGTATTATTACAATGGTAAAACAAAAAAACAATCAAACAAAGAAAAAAACAACAAAAGCATGTCCTAAGATATTGCTTATTTTCTACTTAAGAATGTAACTACTTGCCTTTCCACAAACAGCCATGTTTTATTTGTTTTACTGATTGTTACATGCATAATTTCCAAACAGAACTAATACAAACAAAGTCTACCTAGCCAGCCATATGCCCTGCCATCTCCAATTTACAAAAAACAAATAGAAAACCAACAGCTTTTATAATCATGTTTTATAAAGCACAGCATCTAAAAAAAAAAAAAAAAAGCCTATAAAAATATGTTGCACATTCTCAGTTTCCTTTACTGATGAAGCTTGGGATTCAGAGTATGAATCAACTCCTATCACAAGGTTGAACCAGTACTGGTGGTCTAATTTTGGTCTAACCACCATAAAAATGTTGGTGGAAATTTACATTTCTCTCACTACTAGCATAAAAGGAAAAAAATCCTTAAGGTTACTACAGGCGTTAGTCCCCAGCACCTCCTCTGAGATAAAGGCACTGAAGAACCTTCATACTGAGACAAGGAGGCACAAAAGTACAAAATGAAATCAGTTCTAAGTGATGTTAAGTTTGATGGCTTTGTAATGGAAAATAACTGGGGTGCTTGGAGGTAGTTGACATAGTTTCAGGACCTCTGGACCTCAGTACAAAAGGTGTGAGAAAAGCAGAATAGAATGACAGGACCTGGGGATGGGGAGTATCTGGGACTAGCAGATGCCCAGGGTGGGCACAGATAAACTAACTGATAAGTAAAAGGACAGGATGATTGCTATGCTTGGGGTGTTAATAAACCCATTAAACTGGTGTAAGTAGGGAGTATCCCGGACTAGCAGATGTCCGGGATGAGAGCAGTTAAACTAACTGATAAGTAGGAGGCCAGGATGATTGCTATGTCTGTAATGTTAATTAAGCTTGTTGGGAAAAGTAAACGACCCTTAAAGACCACCGCATTTTGTATGCATGCCGGAAACGTTTTGGAAAATGATGTAATATGCTCGGTGACCATATAAGGATGACCTGTATAGCAATTCGGGGACACACGTTAGGAGCTATCCCCGTGTCTCCCGGCGCCGCAATAAAGAATACCTGCTTGTCAACTTGAAACTCTGCTGGCAAGTTTGTTCCTGGAGTTTTCTCCGAATCAATACCAGGAGTTACATAGCCAAATAAGATATAGCTAAATGGGTAGCCGGACACCAAAGCACTGCACTTTACATTGAGTACTCTTTTGTTAATGAAATTGTTTTACAGACATGGAACAGAATATACAAATAGTAATAAAAAAAAACAAACAAAAACCATCACCTCTGGGCATTACCTTTTACTTCTAATTTCTCTTAAGCAGCATTTGACATTTTATTTATATGCTTCTACTTGCATTTATTTTTCAGCCTACTGGTTTTGTCTTTCATAAGGCTAGACTCTGCCAGATGTCTTAAAAGAACAAAAAGAGCCCATTAACAGATATATGGGAAGAACACAGGAACAGCAGGAAAGAAGGGAAATTGTTTTATGTTTTCAATTCTTACTGCTGCATCTATCAAAATGATGTGTTTTTCCCTTTCAAATGAACTACAAGATGAAAGATACAGGCTTCTATTCAGAAAAAGGTTTTAAGGAGCAAAAGCTAGTGGCAAATTCTTGCTGTGTCAAACTCATAACACTGTGATGAAATACAGTTATCAGAAACTCAGGAATATATTGGTTAATCTCAGTTCTGCCACTGCTATGAGGCAAAACATGTAATCTTCTTTTGGCTTCCTACGCTTACAGGGGTATTTTGAGGCTTAGTGTTTTTAAGCAGTTAGAGGGTTGTCTCAAAGAAACACTAAACACTACCACTGTGCTATTTAATTTCAGTTGCATAGCATTAAACAAGCCATGCACCACAATGAAATCTGACAATGCAATTTTGTCTCCATCAGGTCTTCTATTCACAAACACCACTAACATGTTTTAAATTAAAAAAAAAAAAGCCTCAAAATTTAGTCCTTCATTAGTAGAACTTGCCTGCTTATACAGTTTTTCCTTTAGTGTTTTCTGGAAAAACAGAAACTGAATGACAATTTCAGTCAATAATAGTTATAATATTGCTTTGGAACACTATATTCTGATGAGGTTTTCCTTCTAATTAATCGTTTGAGTTGTTGTATGATCTATTTTTTTTTAAAAGAAAGAACCCTCATGGTTTCCACTGTTGGCTTTGTTTCAACAAAGCACAGCATGAATGAGCCTGTGTATGAGTTACATGGCTTTGGATCGATCAATAAATCCTCCTGAATCTCAATGCCTTCAGCCTTCAGTCCAGTTTAACTTGTCTACTACAAAGAATATAAGATGAATCTTGTTATTCCTACATAACGTAAGTATTTGATTTATACAGGACTGTAAGTTTAAGGACTTATCTCAAGGCTCAGGTTAATTAACACTGAATTAGGATTTTTAGCTCGTCTGTCAACTTAAACCTGCATTTCTGCTTATATTTTGCCTTAGCAAACTATCTGCAAAACAGCAGAAGTTCAGAAGGCAGTTTCCAAAATAATCATATGTCCTTGACTTGGCGGTACCAAGGTCTGCCAGAGGCACAGGGAGAATATCAAGCAGCAGAAACAGCAGCAGGTACTCAATTTGAAACCTCTGTTATACATCGACAAGGCTGTACATCCCCAGCACTGCTCCACAGCTTTGAAACCAGTCCAATACAATGATATCAATTATCATCTGAGCTGCTTCAGTAGGCTTCAGTAAACAAAACATCCACATTAATACCACCTGACCCCCCTGCACAGGAGAGTAATCAGCCACTTCAAAATGGTGAAGGATCAAGACTGCACAGCAATTAGCTGTCTGCAATACACTTTGCATCCTACTGAAATGGCATTAGAGTGTCTGGCAACACACTTCCATAACAGTTTTCTGACGAAAGGGAGCCACTGTTTCCAGAGTTCCACATAGGCTGGGTACAAACTGAGCATTAAAATAAGCTTTTGTTTTTATCAAATCATGATACCATTCGAAGAATTCTCAGGATCCCTTGTCTGGGTTTTTCCAGGCAACAGAGGTTTTATGTAATTATCCCTTTCCAGAACCTAAGCACTGAGGTAGCATACCACGTTTGTGGTCATTTTGCAACTGCTCTTCCATTACTCTCAAAATCTATCTCTAGGTAGGGTTACACACAGACCTTTTTTCACTAAATTTCAAGGCTTGTAGGATAAAATTGGGCTGCTGATGGATAGGCATGGACCTTAGCTTTCTACAGACATCTGGAAATGCTCCTATTTTCTAGTAGTATGCAAAGTTTCCGAAGCACAAGAGTCCAACTGAATTACTCAGCCTCAGGTACACATAACATCAAAAGGGAATACTAGCCAGGGTTCTCTCATAACCTGAAGAAGAACAGTGAGGTGGCGATTTCTTTGATAAAAGAATGTTAACATGAAAGTGTTTTTTTAATACAGATTTGTAGTCTTTATGACTGCTTGGAATATTTTGCAGCCTGTGTGAAGCCATGGACAGGTCTTCTGGTTTAGCTGTACTGGCTGGAAATGTTATCAACCCCAGGTCCGCATTACCATTCAGGTGCAGGTTTTTGCCAAGCACTGACAAGAGACGAGGTTGTATGGCAGTTGCAGGACAATTCACTCAGATTTGCTCAAACTGTCTTCCTTGAAGTGAGGTGAAACTCATACATTGGTTTAACTAATGAATTAGACTTTATCTAGAGCAGCGTATGTTGAAATGACCACATCCACTAGTAGTGGTAAGTGATTAGCAAGAAACCTCAAGCAAAAACGGTCCTGACAACATCTGGGGGATGTATTTTTTTTTTTCCCTGTTGGATTTTTGTCAAGTGATCACTTCAGTTGACTTTATGAAAATATTTTTAACTAGTCTGGAAATAAGCAGTACAAATGTTTTCTTTCACAATTTACAACTTAATCAAAGCATTCTTTTTCAGATGAAAGCTGTTTCATTCAACAGTCTAAAGTTGACTCAAGAGTAGCTTGTAAGAGATTTCATTGTGGGCAAATGACTTTACATAAAAGATAAAATGAAATTTGAGACTGGCATCAAAATCAGACGAGTGATTTCAACAGTCACTGAATGAACAGATGTGACATCCTGCTGAGCTGAGGTTTCTCACATTTTTGCATTGTTCTTTTACAACACATCTGCCACCATGACACATTCAGTTCATCTCAACTTACACATAACACATGTCACATTTCTGGTAAAAATCTTCATTCATGGACAGCTTACCCAAAGAACTAAAGGGCTGTTTACAATTGACCACTTTGCATTACTGCTTGAACTTGAAAATTATCGCATACATTAAACATCAGAGAACATAAAATTCACAATGATAAACATGAGGATAATATGCATAATGCTACCAACCCACATATCAGTCTCAGTTTCAACTGTGCAGCATAAAACTCTAGATCAACTGGAGATAGATACCAAGTCCTTATTAATATAAATTTTTTTGAAAAAGTAAATGCTTTAACCCCTACATAATCACCAAGGCTTTCATCTGTTTCCTAAGTAGCAAGCTCTCAAAATTATTTCAGAACTACTTAACATTTTAAATTATCATCTTTTCTGACACACTGGCTTTTTTTTTTCTTTTTCTTTTTATTAAGTTTCAGCCTTGGACTAAGGATTGATATGCTCACCTGATTCTAAGTAACTGAGATAGTACACAGTAAGGAATTGGAATTTATTGCCTTACAGATCAGGTGTGTTAATAAATTAGATAAGACTTAGTCTACTGGAATATGAAACAAAATGGATTTCAGCTAAGCAGCCAGGAAATATTTTAGGCAAGTCATATTTTCAGTGGACTAAGAAATGAATGCAGTAGGTTACCATATGATAACTGAAGGATGGAAGTGTTCAAGGCCAAGTGGACAAGGCCTTGAGCAACCCGGTCTAACGGAAAGTGTCCCTGCACACGACAGGGGTTAAAACTAGATGATCTTTAAGGTCCCTTTCTACCCTAACCAGTCGATGATTCTGATTCAATGGTAATGTCTTAAGTACTAACTTGACTGTTTAAGGAGTTATCCTACTGATTGAGTGCAATAAACCTCCTCAAAAGGGAAGGTGGAAAAACTGCAAAAAATAAACCAAAGTAAAAAGAACATAGTCAGAAAAAGACAAAAGGAAAAGCATGAGAATAATCTAAAAGACAGCAATGCAGCATACTGTGTCATGACAATCCACCACAGTTCATGATGCAACAAGTTTTGTCGCTGGCGCTAACCTACACACATACCTTCCTGGAGATAAAGCTCATACTAGCATCAGGAGTTCTGCCTCCTAACAGCATAAGGACAATGCCTCTGCTGTAGACAGGAAAAACCTTTCTGCAAAAGATGCCTTTTTTACACTAAACATGCAATGACACTGAGTTTTGCTGGCAGGTACTTTTGTTAGGGATGAGTCAGGACTTCAACCAGTGCTGATACACCATCAAAACCTCATAGCATAATTCAAGTCCACAGGACATAATTCTCTCATCAAGAACATGAAGAGACTGCAGAGCTAATTCTTGGATCATGGCAGTTTAATAATATACTTAAAAACCATGAATAGACAAACTGCTGAAGAGCAATTCCCTAGCCATATATAAAAGCAGAAAGCACTAAGTGATGAGACATTGAAGAACTGTATGACTGTGTAATGCAAAAAAACTGAGAAAACTTCTGGAAGCCCTAATTTGCAAAAAGGTAATAGGATGACATTTCTGATAACTGATTCTCAACTTAACATGAGACTTTAACTGTACATCCCTTACTGAAATTCAGGATTCACCTCACACTGCAAATATTTTAAAAATAATAAAATTCTGACTCAGCAAATGTTTCCCATTTCTCTGACATTGTCTCTCTGTCCCTCACTCCATTCTCCTGTGCTACTGCTCTCTCTGTGTCAACTCTCCTCTAGGAAAACTTAGGATATCCGCATTTCTGTATTATATTTTCAAAGGTTTATAACAAAAGCATCCTTGGAAACACTATGTGCAAACAGTAAATTGTTCAGCTTATCACTTGGGAGCACGTCAAACTGTATTTCCTTTCTAGCATCTTTCCAAGAGAACAAACAAATCCTTACATCTACCAACCAAGCAGAACAAAGACATCCAAGCTATATTAAAATTAGTGGCCTCATATTTTGAAAGAGTCAAGAGTTATTGCTTTATACATATCTGTTAATAACATTTTGCAATCTGAACAGCAAGCCGAGGAATCCTCATCAGAACAAAATAGAGACTAACTACAAATTGCGACAATGATGTTCAACAAATCTGATCTTGGCACACACTGGTGAAATGAAGTTACAGATTGCTAATGTTTATTTCAGCATGCTCCCCATGGCAACTGAAATCACTGTATCTTTAGGTTTACAATATTTCCTATTTTGTTCCAGCTTGTATCTGTTTTCTTGTGAACAAATAAAAAAAAATAAATGTGCAGACATCACTCAGTTGAAAGAATAAAATTACAGTTTCACAGCACATACCTATGATGGCCAATATGTCTTGCCCTTTTAATGTGTCCAACTCCTTTACATCCTGTTATGGGACACCCTCCATGCTCTAAAGCTTCCACCAATTCCAAGGGAGCTGCATGTCGGGGGAAATCACGTGAGAGATTAAAAAAATGTATCTAAAAGTTATACAAATATGCAGGAATACCAGACTATCATAGTAAACATGATGAATAAGTAAGTAAACAATATCTAATTCTAAAGTACTTTTAAAAAGCATTCTGCAAAAGCATGATGGACATTCAAACAACTTAATCCACTGCAGAAAATTTTTTTTTCTGTGTGAGTACATCTCTACAGGAGAGGAGGAACTATATGACTTCAAGTTTCTCTCCTATTAACTACACGCAGCTGCAGCCTGGATGTTTTGCAAGAGCACTGACAAAGTTACCCTACTGTTCCCAAAGACAGGGATCTGTTTGCAGTGGGTACTGACCTCCATTTTTAGTTCAAATTTTCCAGGGAACAAGACATGAAAACAAAAGCTGAAAATACTACTAAAAAGAAAAAGCCATCAGGAGATTTATTAATCTCATTATTACGTATCTGAATTTATGTGTTTATCTGATTTTCATCAACCTGAAATGATGCCTGAAGAAACTTTAAAGCACACAGCTGTCAAAACAGGCTTTGACTTTCCAGCTAACATAGTATATAACCCATAGTTTCATAGCAAGTGAGACACAGACTTCAGTACATGAAACTGAGAACTCCTGCTGCAGATCTGCAAAGATGCACTGTCTCTCTAGTACTGGTTTTACTTGCAAATTCTATGAAATTGTATCTCCCCTTACAGTTACAATACTAAATAAAAAGGTCTATAAATTTTCCTAGATGAAAGATTCTTGCTCGCAGATGGATAATCAGAGAATTAATATGTTAGGACAAAACTAGGACAGTCCAAAAGCATTTTTTAACAAATCTTCCAACTATGCTAATGTTACAACACTGTGACTACACTGAAGTCCAGAGAATTCTATAGGCTTTAAAATGGTGTAGTGCATGAGAGAACAGTGCCTCCTATGCTACCACCTAGAGGAGATGACATGTTTTATGTGATGGGCATCTGTATTTTGTTTCTTTTAATGTCTCCAGGAAAATGAAGACACCTAGGCTAAGAATCTTTTTTCTTTGCTATCTTAGGTAACAGAAATGTCACAACCTTATTCATCTCTTTTGCCATATGATAAGATTTTTATTTATGTGTCCACAGATCCACCTCTCCCACTGGACTTTTCCTTCATTCAGTATGTAAGATGCACATCTCAGATTAAGAAGTAGATAGGCAGCATTCTATCTTCTCCTCATTATTCACTTCGTGCTTTGGCAGTCACATCACTCTATTCAAACTCTGCTTTGAAGGCAGAATGATTAACTTCCTAACATGCAGTCATCACTGTACCACTGGAGTGCTCAGAAAACTCATGAATATACTCTGATCACGCTCTTCATAGGAAATATTTCTGCTTGACATTTTACAGATGCAGAATTGAGGTACTGAGACTTTCAGGTATCATGTTCACACAATCTGTGTGTGCCTTATCCCAGTTATTTTACATTTCATTTTTTCAGAGTACTTGGCATTGCTCAGCATTTCTTATTTTCCAAGTGCAGCTTTTTCTGATCTCGGTCACAGCTGTGAACACTCAGTAGTCTTGCATACCTCAGAGTCACAATATAAGCACTCAGTTAAAAATCATCCGCTACAAGTTTGACTAAGGTGATTTCACCACCATTATCCAGAAACACAGTGGCATAGACAGGTGCATACCACAAAAGTCCCTTCTCCCTGCAACCTTCAGTCTCACTTATAATAGACAGCACACTTCAACAAGTAAAGCAAAATTCCCAGAAAGGGCAAGCTGGTAAGTACAGTATTATTATTGACACCATGGTCCTGTTTAACTTATTTTCAATGTGGGCACCATTAACTCCTCTTTGCTCAGCTGCAGAAAAAGGAATTTAGCTGTTTTTAAGGATTTGTAACAGCATTTAAAAGGAGTGCCTTCTCAGTGAAGTCTGAACTATTCTGAGATAAAAGCACACTAACCTTCAAGAGGCTGTGGACAGAGGATTTTAAGAGTTAATCATCTCTACTGAGTGCCAGAGCAGTCTTATCAGTGGCTTCAAGAGATCTGTATCATTACTTCAGGTTTTGACCCTGGCTCTTATGCATACAGAGAAACACTGTATTTCCATTACAGTAAGGGTCAATAAAGCAATCTACTAAAAAGTGATTGATCACCGATGGTTGATTTTTGCACTAAATGTCACATTTACATTGTTTTGCATATCCTAGCTGCTCCTCTTTCTTGGATGGCACTGGCAGCGAAAAAGATAGCATAGTGCACATGCCTCTTAACATCATTGCATTATAATATGATTTCTCTTACTAAGCGGGGGCTGAAGAGGGTGTCCAGTTTTTGTACACCAGCCTGCAGGATGGATGTCAGGGCTATCTACATCAGTCCAATAATCATATATGCTATCCCAGCCATCAAAATGGACCTAAAATCAAAAGGAGAACAAGATTAGAAAAATTCTCTATAAAATCAGTTTCCCTAAGTAATTTCTAAAAATTACACGTCCATTAGAGAAGTCACTTAAAGAGAACTATCAAAGTTACACAGAAAATACATGTACATTGAATTATGCACCCATGCATGCTCTATGAAAAGGCAAGAGGTGTCATTGACTGTTTACTAAGTCTTGAATCAGCAGTCTCAAAGCCCAGGAATAAAGCAGGACAAGTACAGCTATCCTGTTATTATTTCAGTTAAACGTGAGTTTCTGCCTCTTTTCTCTCTCAAAAACCCTGCAAAATCCAAACATTTTTTCAACTCCTGAACAGGACTTAAGAATAGCAGAACAGTAAACCCTAACACACACTAATGATTTACTACAATCAGACTATAAAGGGTAAGGACTTGAAACTGAAGAGAAAATGAAGTATGTGCCTTCCCATAAAACCACCAATACATGCTTTTTTTTCCAAGTGAAAACTAAATAACACCAAATTTTACTTGACCTTTGAACCAGTAACTAGCTCAGATCTCTCATGTGCACACGTATGGATGAACATACACACAGATACATACGAATAGAGCTTTATCAACATATGCTACAGTCAAATTACCACCCTAGAAGCTACAAATCCTGTAATTTTAATAAATAAAACTGAAGCAGTTTTGGTGTTTGGTTGGGGTTTTTTTGTTGGTTTGTTTGTGGCTTTCTTTTTTTTTTTTTTCATTAACAACTAAAGTTTAGATAGAAAATGTGTAGGTATGAAGATACTAGTTCTGATGGCTCCCTACCACCAGGTAATTCAGATTCAAAATGAAATGTCAGGTGCATTTCCTGCTTGAAATACCAGGTATGCCTAATAAATCTTTACAAATCACGAACAAAAGTATCCTTCATATCCATCTAACTGGACATCCAGAATATTCTAGGCCTTTTAACAGTTAAGGGTTTCTGAGTGTAAACTGGTTTTGTACAATAAAAGAAAAAGAATTCAAATATACAACTTCTGTTAAACAGCCATTTCTTAAAAATACATTATCTGAGATTAATCCAATCTAAAGTCCATAATCAATATAAAATTCAGAATTGCAAAAGTCACTGACAAGGCACTAGAGATCAGGATTATTTTTTTGTATTTCACTTACATCTCTCTCCTACCTGGAAGTTTATAGAGACCGATTCAGTTAACCTAGGCCAAATATTTTATGGGCCTTAATAGAAATATCACAGCAGGCCTTCGACACTTGATGTTAAATCATATAATTTTTTGATAGAATAGACAACTGTCTTATATCAACTATTCCCAAAGCAATTTCCCAATATATTCAACTATGCTCTCTAACTACCTATGTCAGCAAATGTAACTAAAAGGACAATAAAACAATCCCTTCCAAAGGAATTATGCACATATAAATCAGTGAAAAGGATAAGCAAAACCTTATCAGGACACAGCAATGTGACTCATTTCTTCCTGTGCTTAGTTTTACAAGTATGGTATTTTGGTTTTAAAGAGTACCCATCAGTCTCTCAAGCAGGATATTACAGTAAGACAAAGAAACTTACTTTTATTCTATAGTCATCAGTATCTACAATGGTTGCTACTCTGATAAATACTGGATTTCTCTTGTCAACCACTTCAAGTTTCATGTTTTTCTGAAAGCCATGAGAAGGTTTCTAGGCAAGAAGAACAGTATTATGTGAAACAGAAAAAAACCTCAAAAATCTCACACAACTGTAAAGTATATAAAATCCATAGAAAACTTTCTGCCTTCATTTTCTCAACTCTGCCTTTCTCCTTGAACAAATCCAAACATAAAAGCACCATTCAAACCAGTGTTATTGAAGTAGAGAAATAAAGTAACTACTTTGAGATTCCAGGTTCTCCTGGAATGGGCTGGATTCAAGCCATGCAAAGAAGTGGGGATTTTTATTCTGAATCAGTTGGGGTTTTTCCTAAATTCTGTAAAATATTTTTTCTCAGAGATATTGGCCAACAGTTTCAAAGCAGTACTGAATTAATTATTACATACCAGCAGCCTGAAATGTCTATGAAACTGTCTACAGGAAACATACTCATGGTTTTTAATATGTGTTTTCACTTTGTGAATCAAACTTTCCTTTTCAGTCTCCTACTGAAAACATAACTAATACACGGTATGAGAGTAAATACTCAGAACAAACAGGACCAAATACCTCTTTCATAATACTATTTTGGCAAAAAAGTATCTTTGTTAGGAGTACTAAATTTTGTCTTTGCCACCTAGCTATGAAATCTAATAAAAAATTACTGCCATTTTAAAGGAACATATGAACAAGACAGTTATATTTTAGATTTCTAGGAAAATAGTATATCTGTCCCTCTAAGACTTCCTAGAACATTGGTGCTTTTTCCTCAGCAGCAGCTTAACTCTCTTTACTTCCATAATACAATATAAAACACTGTGACTGCCTCAGGGTGACTTCAATAAAACTCCAATACAATCAGCAATTTATTCCCATGAAACCTGATTTCTTACTGTTTAAAACAACTCATTAATATGCTTACCTTAATATTAGTATAGAAAGCAGGAAAGTTATTTTTTCCGGTTGTGAAACCAAAAGACAGAGCACAGCCAACCCCCCTTCAGTCATGCTCTTGTTCCCCTCCATCCTCAAAGCCAGATAGACTTGTCTAAGCTACCTTTTGGGATCTATACCATCTGCAGATGCTCTCTGCTCATATGCTTTCTGGAACAGTGCTGAGCCAGGCCAGCAAGCGTTCTCCTGGTTTAATGCTGTCAATGGCTGCATGCCTGTGGTATGTCCTGTTCAGCTCCCCAAAGCAGACACAGCCAGATGGATCTTGCTACCTGAAGGACCCTGTGGGTCACTAGTGGGGCATTCCCACTGCTGAACGCTGCAGGGTGGCTGGTCTCTCCCTGAACCCAGGGAGGGAGAAATTAAAACATGGATGCTCAAAGAGGAAAAGGAAACATTTGCTTTTAGCTTGATGTAGTCAAGGTCACAGCCCTTCACTGCTTTGCTTCTCAGATATAACCAAATACCTTCCTAATCCTTGCTCTGAGTATTCTTGCTGAGAATGCAAGATTGAGACATGTTATTAGCCAGATGCATTTTGAGGTGATAAACTGCAGGTCAGTAATAAACTCTAGTGATCTGCTGATCCCAGGAACTGCTATAAGGACTACATTTATTCTGCTTTTGTTAATACAGCTCTTAGCAAAGCATTATCCAGAATTAGCGACATTAATCTGTAAAGATGAGAAGGCAAACCAGCTTGAGTGAGCTGCGAGACAAGGGGCTGGCTCTTAACGGCAATTCTTTCTGCATTACTGACCAGTGCACTTTGCTCCCTGAAATCCTAGGAGCTCAAGAAAGATGAGTGTCACTGGAAGAAACTAGGAAGTACAAAGCTAAAAGAAAAGAATGTTGCCCACAGACACCATAGTTAAAATGGGGAGGTGCCTATGGATGCTGCCCATGTGCCCTAGTCACAAGCTCACAGATGAAAAAGTCCACTGAAGGGTATTAAATTCAAAAGCTCTCCTGGCTACAGCCAGAGACAGTGGACTAGACGGACAACTGGACTGATCTCCAACAATCAGTTTTACATTCTCTCTGCATTCATGGCATCATTTAAGATGTATGGATAGAAACACATATGTTCAAAGTATGTTATGATGAATCCATAGCTATCTCATTATTTCTAATAACTAGGCAGTAATTTCCCCATAGCAAATTATATTCATTAGTAATATTTTGTAGCATTTAATCCCATTTATAATGATTAAAATGAAGTGATAGTGATTTATAACAATTATTTGATTTCCAACAGTGAACAGCAAACTTGCATTAAAACAAACCAGCTATTATGCAACTGATTAACTGGTTACATTTGGAAACACAGGAACACCATATATATATTCTTTTACTTTTTTTTTTATTTTAAACTAATTAATTATAAGCACTTAGGAACATGAAAAATATAGGTATTTTCTCACCACTTTAAAAGCCCTTGCAGGTGCAGGTAATGAACTGGTTTCTTCCAAATACTTCTCCCAAGAGAAATGCTTAGCATGTGGATAATCTGGCACAAAAGAAATATGAACAGAATTAAACACAGCAGTGCAAAAAGCAAAATTGATGGCTAATTTACAGAATGCAAACACTTTCATAATACTGTTCTGATTTATGCTTCGCATTTATAAAATAATTACAAGAAAGGGTATTCTAAATTGTCTCTGACACATTCACCATGTAGGTTAAAAACCCCAACAATCTTCTCATCCACAACATTGAGTAGCTAGCGGAAAAAAGTCACAATTGCTTTGGATATGAGAATATAAATAATGTGGACTGGAAAAATCTGTCCACTTAATTCATGAAATTTATTCAAGTATTATCAGCCTAATCCTGTCTTTTGTTAACAATGATTTATTGGTAACACAATCTAATGAGTAATAACTTTTTACCACAGTGGAACACACCTGACTATTTGTTACTCTTTTAGTGAATTTAAGTAAATTGAAAAAAAAAAAAAAATAGCCTGGTCATTTACTGTAACAATTTACTGACATCATCAAATAAGATGTTGCCATTTTCCAAACACTTTACGCAAGAAACACAAAGACAGCTTTGCTCTTAAAGACAAGGCAGTGAGTGTCCTTCGCTTTTACTCTGCACTGGAAGCTTATCTTCCAAATTTAAATATCATGACTTATAATCCAGGGGACAACTAAACCAATTCTGACTTAGTATAGAAGGGATTTCACTGAATAATAGGCTGTAATTAACCTCCTGACAGATTGCTTACGACTTTTCAAGATCGCTGGCTATGAGAATTTCTGTCAAAGTTGGTTTTAATCAATTAAAATCTTCCAAGTTCTCAGACTACAAGTGGTAGTTTCTGCAATAGGACATTTAGATCATCCAGCTACACACAACAGCCCTGAAAAACAGCGCTAGCCTTGTAGTTCATACTAATGAATACACTGTCATTCTTCTGTATCGTCTTTCTCATTGTGTCTTCCTTCCAAAGAGCCCTTACAAGTTTGATTCCTTGATCACCTAAGACAATCTTATCATCATATGCATGTTATCTTGCATATTTAGTTCCCATGAAGATGTTTTTCTTATATAACAATCTCATACACAAGAAATTTGTTCTATCAGCATTTTCACAATGTGAGTCTTAAATAAGTGAATACATTCAGCTAAAAATACAACCTTGTTCAGATTCCAAGGGTTATCTTTAATGGATAGATGTCTCTACTAAAGCAGGACACATGTGCGTACTTATAACTTAATACCTATTGTAATTCTAATTTCAATACATAGTGTCCTGTAAAAAAAATTTAAACTCCCCAAATACCAATTACAGAAAGAAAAATTCAGGAGAGGTACAAAAAGCTTATTGTAAATTTTAATGCTGCTAGCTGACTATAACCTCCTTAAATCTTTCAGATGTATAGTAAGATACAAACCTGGCGGGGTGATGAGAGTTCTTTTATGCTCTTTACACCATCCAACAGGATGAATATGTGGGCTAGCTGCCTCACACCTGGAGAAAGGGAGAAAAAAGGGGATTGATAATGCAGTTCTTCAGATATCCTGTTATGCTTAGAAATCAAGACATACCAAAAAAGACTTAACAAAACCCAATTAACCTATTACACTTTCAACTTACACTTAAACTGCAAAAATAACCTGAAGAACACATTTAATACAGACTTGTTAACACTTAAGCAAGCATAAGGGGTTATTTTACTGGAAGATCAAAAAGCCAACTCCTTACTGGAAGATAAAAAGATCAACTCCTTTAATTCAGTGGTAGATCTTCACTGAGAAGCTATAACATTGGACATGAAAAAATCACATGTAGAGATTCATGGCAGAAGCCTGTTGGCTTGTTGCAAGAAGAGTAATTCCATAAAAAAAAAAAAAACACATAAAAAAATAGGGTTTTGCAATGGCAGGACTGAAACTTTAAACCAAAAGCTTAGAGACCTTGATTCATGCTCCAAGTTGCACCTGGGACAGATTAGAAAATCATGCATAACTGCAATGCACTGCCAGTAAACGAGTAAAAATGCAAAAGCTTATTTTGAGTGCCTTGAATGAAGCTGTAAACATATTATAAGCCAGCAGCACATACGCAAAGTAGATCCGAGATACACTGTCACAAAAAAAAACAACAACAAAAAAAGGCATTTGAGTCCCCAGACTGCCTGAAAAAATATGGAACTGATCAGTGATCCAAGACAGCAAAGTGCTCTAAAAGAACTGGTCAAATTCTCCTACTCAAGGGACCAACAATTTCCCGTAATTTCTGTCATCAAATTTTGCATGACTGCTGTTGTCTGTGGCATGCCACAAGAACCACAGAGGACTAACAGAGGCAGGGTGAGCTATACTTGACATGTGCTGGCATCTGTCTGAAGCAAGGAGAGATTGCTCTCACTTCTCTTATGGGTTCTGTTACATTGTGCTTAAATGAAACCAGCAGCAAGCACTGGCTATCAAGTTCCGTTAGCAATACAAAACAAAAAGACATACACTGCAAAAATATAATTGATATAAAAGCAGATGAGAGAAAAACTGTTTAAACATTCAGTATTATGAAATTATTATAAATAGAACTGTATAATTTTATTATACTGTATTATTTCATAGCATAATAAATTATGTGCAATATAATACATATTGTATAGAATATGTAATGCATCTACTATAAATATTATATTATTACTCAAGATTATTAGGGAAGGCAAAAAGTAAGACCGATCTACTGGAAAAGTAAAAAGCCATCACTCTGCTGTGAAACATGCACCATCTCTGCGCCTGCATTGATACTTAATGATTGTTTCTGAGTAGTCTGAACAACTAACAGTGTTTTTAAAGAAGCAGATAGTACTTATGTAGTTAGAGTGACTAAGGAACATCACACTGACGCAAAAAGCTAGCATTAGTCTACACAGCATTGCACTACACTGCAAACACATCGTTTACTTCTATTTAGCTAGAAACTTGCATCTCACCATGAAAATCCCCATGTACATCTGTCCTTATGGACTTCATTTCTCTTGGAGTCTGTCCCACCGTATTTCTTCTTTAGTTAGTTAAATTCAGTATTACAGTGCATTATCTCTCTCTTACACTACTTCCTAAGCCTAAGGGTGCTTCAGTAGCTGACATTAAATATTCTCAGCTATGTGCCCTCTCTCTTCCAGAGAATCCCATGAGCATTTCCGTCTCTCCAGGGGCCATGAGCCCAGTGCCACACTCACTCCAACGACCCACCAAGGCCAACAAACTGCTGTCTGAGTAAGCTGATGTAGCTAAGATCTTCATTCCCCAGGGATGATCAAGAAACCAAGCTTAAATAGCCAAGCAGCAGTTTAAATAGAAAGTCTCTCCCTCCTGCTGAATGCTGTTTTCCAAACACTTCTCAAATATATAATGAGAAAAGAAGAAAAAGCAGAGAGCATCAGAGCATCCATGCATAAAGATGCTTACTTCATATACAATAATCATTGCATAAAATACTGAAACCCTCATTCTGATCCAGTTTCTATTTAATCCCTTTCTGAAGTTAATGTGTCAGCCATTAGGCTGTAGAGTAATATGCATTCCCTTCCTTTCTCCTCAACAAGGCAAAATACTTGAACAGAGGGTCTGCTCTCTCTGATTGTTGTAACATAATCATTATCAGTATCTACCTAGAAAGTATTAGCATGATGGAAGTTCATATTAATTAAGTTCTTTTAATTAGCAGTGGTACTGTATATTTTTTAAAAAATACCATGTTGATAATCTGTAATACCTAAGAAGGTGCAATGAATTGTGCATTACAGAAAAGGAAGTCAAAAGCAAAACAGCAGGCGCACTAACATCTTAAGTCTGCAGATCTTGAACAGAAACATGTTTTAAGGACTGTAAAGGGAAACACAACACAAAAGACTAGACTGAATCCTGGGCTACTCCCACATTGCAGTTTTGAACCTCTGGTGCATAAAAGAAAACCAAAGGAAAACATCATATCTGGACTATAAACAATAACACCAATAATTTCTAAAAAATCTGAAAAGCAATTTTACATAATGTCTAACATTCACCATGGAGTATGGGTATACCTCAATAACAGAAATGCAGGATGGGTGTCTCAGAAGCATTGACTCACACACAACAAGCACTCCTCTAGCCTTTTACCTGAAAAGAGTCAAGCACTAATGATGAAAAATATTGGCCAACCTACTATAATTATCTTGCAGCTTTATGTATGGAAGAGCTCTGCTAGTATTTCTTTCTAATGATGCTGAACAGATCAACTTCTAGCAGATAAAACCTACCTTTGACAGACTCTGTAATGGCTCAGACAGCAGCCAAGGATTCAACTCACTTCAAGAAAATGAACTTTTTGTCCTACTACAGTATATAAAGCTATAGAGTATGTAACTAGTATTTATAGTATCACAGCAATTACTCTCAAAATCACTGAAGTTGCCACTAATAAAAGCAAGCGAGAGGACTTCTGTGATAATTTTGCACGGTTAAAATTCAGCATCTGACTCCTAGAAATGCTTTGGCCCAAACAAATTAAAGAAAAGGTGAGTGCTTCACGCTCCCTTTGTCCTCCTCCTTTCACTTAACAGTAACTCTGAAGAGAAGCTAACAAGCCAAGAGGGGCAGCATTTCTCTGTCCTATCCCGCTCAAGCTGGAGTTTTACATGGAAGAATTTTACATGGATAAGGTATCCTCTTACTTCCTGAAATGTTTTGGAGTAAAGTCCACCAATTATTTCAAAAGTCTCATGAGTTAAATTTGCAAACAAGACAGGACAAACCTTCTAAATGCATTTCTTCTGTTTTGCTTTTTCAAGCATAGTTTGAACATACATTTTTATAAAATTCGGAAAAGTAAATGCCACTGCACACACTTCTTGCCTTGAAGATTCAAGAAGCAAGTGACCAATGTATGCTGCAATGAAAGATGCACTCCTGGACGATGCTCTGACATTACAGCAATGGCAGTGAACATGGAACATGCAGTAACAAGTGCTACACATCACAGTACTGCAAAATAGCACTATAAAACATCCACAACATTCTGATTTGCTTTAAAAGAAAAACCCAGCCATTACAGCCTGTAAGAAACTCCTGTAACCATGGTGGCTTCAGGAAAAAAAAACCAACATCCCTGTTCCAGCAAAACAAGGTCATACAGTCCATCTTTACCTACTGATTTCACACAGCCTTTTAGCTTCTAACAGTCCATTTAGCAATAAAAAGTAGAGATCGGTAGAAGTCATACACAGTTGAAAACAAAACTCTTATGTTTTAATGTGTGTTATTTCATGGATATATTATCTAGTTTGGAAGAACAATGGCCTACCGCAAGACATGTCAGCTGGAATGCTAAAGACCACTCTGACTTTTCACAATCAATTTGACACATCCCACAGCTTTTTTATCTCCTTTCTTCCAAAACAGAAGGCAGATCACCTGACTCACACGCTTCATAAAACACAATGATCCATGAATTATGAGGATGCATGCTAGACCAAAAAAGATTACCACCACCAGCTGGAGCTGAAGAATTTTGTACCTCCAAACCAATCTACCCCTGGGCCTCAACAGAGCACCACCACCTTCTACCACACAGTGGAGACACACACATGCTCAACTAATCAACCAAGATTGTAATGTTCACAAAATTCATGCTGCTTGCTATCCACTCTTTTTGTAATGTCAGAACATCCAGAGAGAAAAACACATCTATTACCTATACTGGAAACTGAAAGCTAACTCAGGAAGCTGAAGTGGAGCCAAAAGCAGAAGAGTGTGCCAGCTGAACCCTTAAAAGAGCCACTCAGAGGGACAGAACAAGCCGCAGCTCCACTGAGTTACAGGCAGTTTAACTACATCTTAGAGAAGATATCAATGCAGGGAAGAGCTGCATGACATAAAAGCCCAGGAAGAAGTTCTGCAATAAGGAAAGCTGAGGGCAGCTGACAGCATGACCCCCCGGTACACGCACAACTCTGTATGAAAGGAACATATATGCAGTCCAACAACCCTTAAGTTATGGCACAAGAGCACGTCCCAGTGGAAGACTTAGGTATGGAAGACAACTTAGCATTTTTTTATTGATTGCTTTCATCTGTCAATTTCTCCCCAAAATCTGTTTCATATATACAGTTCATTACATTCAGATCAAGAGAGATGGATAGTAATGCTCATTGCTAAAAAATGAATATTCAATTCTAGAAAAATATTTCCCCAAACAGGTCTCCACCTGAAGATCTGGACAGAAGTTTTATTTAGCAATCATCATTTTCTTTAAAATAAGCGGTATGTGTTATACTCATTTTCAGTTTTGACATAACATCTGATTTTCCCTTTTGGGGAAACAAACCTTCTGGTATTTTGCTTTTTACTTTATTAAATGCAGATATAACCTGCAATGAAAACGTTATCTATTAAAACCTGTTCATACACACATGTATTTTACCCATAAATAACAGTATGCCCTCAAGAATGCTTATACAACTTCTTGATTGTGACATGTCAGTCATCTAACTGTATAAAGATTGAGTGCGCCCTCAGCAAGTTTGCCAATGACAGCAAGCTGTGTGGTTCGGTTGATATCCTGGAGGGAAGGAATGCCATCCAGAGGGACCTTGACACACTTGTGAGGTGGGCTGATGCCAACCTCATGAAGTTTAACCATGCCAAGTGCAAGGTCCTACACCTGAGTCAGAGCAATCCCAGGCACAGCTACAGGCTGGGTGGAGAAGAGATTCAGAGCAGCCCTGCAGAGAAGGACTTGGGGGTGCTGGTCGAAGAGAAAATGAACATGAGCCGGCTTCAGTGTGTGCTTGCAGCCCAGAAAGCCAACCGTATCCTGGGCTGCATCAAAAGGAGAGTGACCTTTTGATGCAGGTCGAAGGAGGTGATCCTGCCCCTCTACTCTGCTCTTGTGAGACCTCACCTGGAGTATTGTGTGCAGTTCTGGTGTCCTCAACATAAAAACGACATGGAACTGTTGGAACAAGTCCAGAGAAGGGCCACGAGGATGATCAGGGGACTGGAGCACCTCCTGTATGAAGACAGGCTGAGGAAGTTGGGGCTGTTCAGCCTGGAGAAGAGAAGGCTGCGTGGAGACCTCATAGCAGCCTTCCAGTATCTGAAGGGGGCCTATAGGGACGTTAGGGAGGGACTCTTCATTAGGGACTGTAGTGACAGGACAAGGGGTAATGGGTTAAAACTTAAACAGGGGAAGTTTAGATTGGATATAAGGAAGAAATTCTTTCCTGTTAGGGTGGTGAGGCACTCTAATGGGTTGCTCAGGGAGGCTGTGAATGCTCCATCCCTGTCGGTGTTTAAGGCCAGGTTGGATGAAGCCTTGGGTGAGATGGTTTAGTGTGAGGTGTCCCTGCCCATGGCAGGGGGGTTGTAACTAGATGATCTTAAGGTCCTTTCCAACCCTAACTATTCTATGATTCTGATTCTATGATAAAACGAGTAAAACATAGAAACCATTCTGCAGCCCCATCTAGTGCATAACTGAGAATACTTCATCATTGACAAGTATAAAACTGGTATTATTTTAGGTCAGAACTTCCCAAAACATGGCCCATGAGATTATTCATCTAGAGGTGATACAGTAAGCCACATTAACATATTTTCCATTTAAAGTCTAATAAGACAGGAACATGGTGATTTGCATGAAATTTTAGAGCTTTAAGATCAGATAATAGTCCATTATCCATTTAAACAGTTAAAAGCATGCACTATGTCTCATGGATCTTCAAGACTGTTTTACCTTCTTTTTAACGAAATATAAGCACTCGAAAACCATTGTTCCTCTTAAATGAGAGAGTGGAACAAAGCTGACTACCTCAAAAAAGAAACAAGCTGAGCACGACTTTTTAGGACTTGGCTGCTAGCAAAGTAGCAAACGCTGGTGGAGAGTATAACTGGCCTCTTAGTCCCACACCAAAATCCAGCCTTGTTCCAAAACTCATACAGATTAGAAAATGGTTCAGAAAATCAAAAGCTGATTTCTCTTCACAACACATCTTAAAAATTTTTCTATGCAAGACAGACAGGAACAGAATGGTGAGTGAAGCACGAGACATCACGTTTTCTCACACTCCTGATAAGCTTATCCCAAAAGCTGACTAGCACCTTCCCTGCAGCGTAAGATCAGACCAAACCAAGGATGAGGGCAGCCAGAGCTCTCTGACCCAGCGAGTTTGGGCTGCACCACATCCAGCACAGGCATCTCTCCACCTCTCCTGGGGGCAAGCAGTGACAAGCCCAAAGATTCCCAAATGCTATTTCCAGACTCAGAGAACCGTAAGAAAAATTAGAAATTCCACTAAGAGGGAATGTCTTTGGCTCTCAAAAAAAGTATCGTTTCATCAAAAAAGATGGAACAGATGAAAAAGACCTGATAGCTTGTATCATGTAAGTAAAAAATCTTCTTCCTGAAGGAGTCTTAAATTTCACAATCTTGTTCACTTTTCTCCCTCTAAAAGCTACTGCCAAAGGACAATGTAATGGGATTTATAATGCCCAGAAAGTAATACCACCATGCATTAAAGTGTAGTAATGACTAATTCTAGACAGGGTACTTATTTTCAACCATTAATGTATTTTCCAGTACCCTGAGGAAAGTCAAGAAGAGTTATCTATCTTCAGGCTGAAAGCCTGACACCTAAAAAAGCTTAGTTGATAACAATAATTTCTGCTGCTTGAAGTCCAGTAAAATCAGTCAACCGTCTTTCAGCTATCCAGAAAGAGGACAAAATATTTAACCTCAATGAAAAAATTCAATCTACTCAAACTAACTAAATCACAGAATGTATATGGAAAACAAAAGGTACTTGTTTGAAAATAACCGAATATGTAGACTACATCATTTCTCCTTCATTGTAATTCTGAAATTGAAACTTATATGCAGGCACAGGGAAACTGTGAGGCTTTGCTCTGAGTAATCCCAGAAGAACTTTTCATTTTTAGTTACAGACACCAGTTGGTATATGTGAAACTTATGCACCTAAGGTATTTTAAGGCCCCTACAAACCTGGCATCTAAAATTAAAAATGTGTGATACATTCAGGATGCATTTCCAGGCTTTCTTTTTGTTGGACATTCAACCATTATTTTCATTTGCCATTCAAAAGAACCCCATTTTATTTCCCTCTTCTATTCACTCCTGTTTTCAATCACAGCAACGCAAAGGTAGGTCATGCCACTCAGATTTTAATTTCAATGCACAGTATTTCCAGCAGCATTTTCTTGCTCCTTTGAGAAAGGTATTTTACAATTCCATCAAAAGAACAAATCTTCAGCTTGGCTTCAGTATAAATACAACTCCAGTAATGTCTCAAACACCTATACATTTTCCACTTCAATCTTCCCTCATCCTTCAAAAAGGTATTATTTCATGTGTTCTACAGACAAAATTCAGAAAACCCACTTCAGAATACTATGACTACAAAAACGTAAAGCCTGGTTATGTACTTAAAAAGTGCTTTCCCTTCTTCTGAGAGGATTGAAGGACAAAATTCCTGTTGACATGGGAATATTAACAAGCCTGAAATATAGTGTATATCTGCTATACAACAGTGCAATGTTTTAGAGATACCTATGGTACCATGGAACAAACTACAGGTTATATTGCACTATTGTTTCCCCTAAAAGCCTTGCCTAACTTTTGTCTTCATTGTTAACTACTGGCATAAACTGTTATTAGTGAACATTCAGTGAACATTAGTGAACATTCAAATACCAGGAAATTCAGAATACCTTTTCCCAGTCCCCAGTTTCCTGCTGCTTTGTAGAGGAAATGTATGTTCTATGTTACTTCTTAATGGAAATAATCACTTATCTTTCTGGTCTCTGACTCAAATGACCAATTATCTTGATATTCAGTTCTTGACTTCAGAGAAATGCCTTTTCATCACTGCTTCAATAATTTAGCTCTCCTACAGCTTATTTGTCAAGTAGCTCATACAATTATTATTTCAAGAGATAGACTCACAAAGTTTTGAAGTTACATAACAGTTTCACGTCATTCTCATTGATGTAGTGCCTAAAGCAGTTACCAATTACAGATGAAGAAAACTTTCTTCATTTAATTGTATAGCCAAACCTGTAAAAATAAGTTGCCACTGCCAAACCCAAGACACAGACTTACAATACCCTACCTGTTCTGCAGTATCTTAATCTTTAAAGAATGTAAGTTATATTACTTTGCTCTAAATGATCTGTCAAAAGAAGAATCAAGTGCAAATACAAACTTGCACTGTGACAGCGAAAGCCTGAACTTCCTTCAGTATCTTTATGCTCATAGCATGTCCTGTTCCTTCCACTGACTTTTCTTTATAGATACACAAAGCCCTTCCACCATACAACATGCAGAAACATCATCTCTAACACAAATCAGGATAACTGGATCCCAGTTTTCACAGGAACGTAGAACGCAAAAGAGAAACCAGATTTTGCAACTACAAAAGTCTACAGAATGCCTTCCTACTACAGATGCCATACAGAAGACGGTTACCTTTCAGTCTGAATAATGTCAGCAGATCAAGAAACTTAGGAAAAAAATGCAGCCTTTTTTTCAGTTTACAACAATATGTAAACCTAACTCCAAGTACGGTTAGTCACATTATCATGGTGTGTATTCTTCACTAAAGCTATCAATTTCAGATATACTAGCTAATTAAAAAAGATACTATGCAATTCATAAAAATTAATCCACAGCTCCAGATGTAACAGCACATGCAAATACTCATTTAGTCCAATCTTGGGTTTTTTTATGTGCGACCTGACATGGGAAATTTGATTCCTCTAGTTGGCCACGTACACTGGTGGCTATGATCCCACATCTAGCGAAGTTGGTATGGTAACTGTATCAACAGTCTGGAAAGTATCACAGAAAATAGTGCTTAAAGCTATCACATTTCTGATATGTCTCAGTAAGGTACAAAACAAAAACATCATACCAGTAGTCATAACTCTCATCCCAGTTGTCAAAATGAACCAGAAAACGATTGTCCACCATGTCTGTTACCGTAGCAACACAAATGAAAGTCGGGTTCTTCTTGTCTACGGCTTCCAGCTTCATCCCCACTCGAAATCCCGACGGAATCACTGTCTACATAGAGAAAGAGATTTAATTGAAAATAGATACTATAAATCCATAAATCACCCCCATGTCCACAATCAATATATTCATGTCACTTCTAAAGTTCACAATTAGCTGCCCCAACAGAGTTGCAGCAGCCTAATTAGCTGACGTGACAGATGCTTAAACACAGAGGCTCATGGTTTTTGAAATAAAAAAGCCCTAAACAATGCTGTTAAAATTAAATGTGTTGAGTTTAACTCTTAGATACTCTCTCTGGAAGACTGTGCTTGTTCCACAACATTCTGTTGCAAGACACAGTACTAACAACAAGTCTTAAATTTCATTTAATATACTATTTCTGCATGTGCCAGATCAGATTTTTAAACAGATTAGTAAAAACTTAATGGATCAGAACTGCAGAGGTGAATTGGAGGTTGTTATTGTATGTGTTGTAAACATTTTTATCTTAAATTTCAGGTTTCAAGTCTGCCACTACTAAAATGTGCTGCAAGTCTGTACCACACACATGAGCATACTAGCAATTTTCCATGCCATTAGTAACAAGTGAGTACTTACTGCATTCTGGTTTTCAAACAGTGATTTAGGAGCAGCTTGAGCTTTGCATGCCTTTAGGTATGAGGGCCAGCTGAATTCTTCTTCCTTATATCCTAAATGAGGATCATAAAAGAAGGGCAAAAAACGACAGGCATGAAACAGAAGGTGCATGAAGGTGATTTGATCATAACTGAAGAAATTATTTTCCCCATCCAGTTCTGAACTGCTTCTTAAAATTTCAAAACAGAAAAGACTATGTAAAACTAACTATTTATTCTAATTTTATATGACTATGTTGGGGAAAGTTACTTTAAAACTACCTATTATTTCTGCCCCAATATAAACTCGATGAGTCTCTGAGGGAGAATCAATTTGGATTATTTGAAATTTTAGGAGGACACACTTTACAGGAACTTCTAGAGTTCAGAAGAAAGTTGACAAAGCTTTTCTATTTTTATTTGGTAAATAAAGATATTTTATTTACCAAAAATCTGGTATTACAAAAAGGAATCATATTCTTTAGGGTTGGCTGAGCTTCCTTACCAAAATGTCAAGCTTTCTTTAAACTAACTGAAACTAAACAAAACTGCGTCTTCTTGAGCTGAACATTACTAATTTCTTATAGTTGTCTAGGAGTTTCATTTGAACTGCTTAATTTTCATCTGGGAGGAAGACTAGTCATATAAACAAAACTCTAGGACAGAACTCAGGAGACTTCAGTTTGATTTTGATATCATGTTCAAAACAAGCCCCTTCTAGTTTCTTAAGGAAAAAATAAGATATTTGTAATATATTGAACTGCATAAAGTTCATTCAAGTTATACTGAACTGCATAAGGTAATTCACAAGGAACAGTTTGTATTTCTAATCTATAAAACAATCCTAAGAGTTGGAAGCAAACGGTCTTCCTCCTGTGTTCTCCTGTTAAATAATAGTTACAGAAACATCTACTTTAGTTCCTAAGTTACAACACAGTAAAACAAGACCAAAACCACAAGGAACTTCAGTGACTGACTGCTTTTTCTGAAATGTGTCAACCTCTTGATTATTTGAAGTGTTACTCAAACATGCCACAGACATATTTGTGGCATATTTGCTCTGTTTAACCTCCGGAGAACCTCATACTTTCCAAGGAACTGCAAGTAAAGAATCCTTCACCTTCTCTGCATCTGGCTTTCCCACTTATCATTTTAAATACTAGCCAATATACATTAACCTCTAAGTCCACACAACAGCACTTTTCTTTATACTTCAATTGCCTCGTCTTGATACACTATAGCTGTAGATCAACTGTAACCATTTTTAAAGGAATGTGGTATTGAGACTTTTAATTTTCCTTTGTAATTTTAGAGGATATTCAAATCTGACTCAAAGTTCACAGGCAACACCACAAAACTCTCACCTACTGCGTGTGTGATGAGATCAGGTACTCATACTGCAACAATGTCCATGGAAAAAAAAAATGGCTTCAGTAGACCATGAAACAGTTTCTGGACAAGGGGCTCTTTCTGTCACTAAGTGAGATAGGGAGATTTCTAGCTCTTAACCTCATCTCTCAAAAAGGGCCAAAGGTGAATTTGATTTAGTCACTGTAGAAACAGAACAGTCAATGCAATTTTTTACTTTGGGACCTTTGGTGACAGTTTTCAAGGCTCTTCCGCTCTCTGCTAACTGCAGAGCAGCTCCTCTAAAGTGGTTTCAGAAGACCATGCAGCCTCTGCTGCACCAAATTCTCCCTTTTGCATCCATATGATTCTTGGCCAATTCAGGCAAAACCAGTATTATCACAGCAGAGCCCGTGATAATTCTAGGAACACACACACAGCCATTTCCTCTCTGCAGGTCTCACCCACATGAGACAGAAATGTGACCTGTGCACACAGAACAAACAGCATCTGAAACACCATCTTTTTTTCCTTCCCATAAAGCCCAGTTCAATTTTGCTGCTCCACTCCCTGTGCCTGCTGACAGCCCAGCAGCAGCCACCTGTTGCCTCTGCTGCCACAGAGGATGGCAGACATCCTGCTGCAAGGTACCAAGACTTACCCATCCTTTCCATTTTAATGATCAACAATAGAAATATCTATCAGAAAACATCTAGAATAATATTCTTCCATTCTCATATCCCTCTCACCACCCACAGTCCTTTCCCATGATAATAAAATAGCCTCAGAACACTCACCAGGGAAGACCAATTTATGCCTGTTTGGAAAGTTACCCAATTTCAACCCACTCAGAAAACAAGGAGTCAGTTAGTGAGCCCCCAAATGCCCCTGAGCATACACCCACCTTACAAACCACTCCTGTGAAGCAGGACACTGCTGTCCAAGCTTGCAGGAATGATTAACCAGGGCCACACTGCACAGAAATGCAATCAGGATTCTCTGCTCCTTTCTCAGGCCACTAGGTTCCAGACTGTTTGTGATTTATACCATGAAGGTCATAAATTTGAATTATATCTGGAAAATGAACGGCTACTAATGCAAATCTTTCAGTTCTTCTCTAAGTGGTATTTTATATAAGATATGGTGCCCTATGTCATAACAAGTATAGTTTTAGCGTCCATACGATTTGCACTGAGCACTAAAGAGAAATCATTAAAATGTTATACCACAGAGAAATCTAAGCAATCTGTCCAACCCAATAAAAACACACAAGAAGCCCCAATAACCTAAGATCAGCATGTTCTTCATCCCCTTGGAATAACAGAACTCCACAAATATCAGTAAAACTAGAAAAAGTATGTATAACTAGTGAACAGCTGTTTGCCCTCAGCCTCCTTCCAAAATATGACTCTTCAATACTGCTTGTTCTTTCATCCCACATGCAAGATAAGCTTGCACTGGGCCAATTGAAGAAATCCCCTGAGTACAAAAGCAGTTTTGCATTCAAACCATATCTCATCAATGATAAAACTGTTTACCACAGAGGTGAAGCAACAGCCAAACCATGCAAAGGGGACAGTATTTTGCAGGTCTTAGATAAAAATATCAACGAACAATCTTGCTATTCAGAGTCAAGAATATGACTTGGAGATAGTACATGGCTGTGCAGGATAACAACCAGATTCCTCACAATCACCTTCATATAACCCCCTAACTTGTCTTCCTTAACACCTCTGACAGGCTCCATGACTTTCCTAATTGAAAGACCCCAATCACTACTTCAGTATGCTGAAAAAAATAAACAGAAAAGAACAATCTTCCCACTAGATTAAAACTAGAAGAGAAACTAAAGAAACCTTTCATAAAAGTGACTCAGAGAAAGTCAGTAACTTTCCTACAGCAGCAGTAATTCATGGTTAACAAAAGATGAAGCTTTCTAAAACAGGCATTTAAGATGGAAAAGATTATATAGAACTTCCTAAGCATGCTATTAATAACGTCAGTACTCTACAACTGGGGACTACCCGTTTGCTACATATAGCTTACTACTTCAGTGGAGGCTAACCTTCTGAGAATTTCCAATTTATGCTCAAGAAACTGCTACTCCTACGCAGTTATGCAGAACTGTGCCTCAAGAAAAACTCCGGCATGGGGGTGGCAGCACTGAGCACTCCCTGCCCTGTAGCCAGAGCTGAGCTCACAGAGCGCTTATGAGCAGCACACACTCAGTCATATTTCTCCAAGGCTCAGCTGGAAAACGCCGTGTTCTGCCACAATGGCAGGCCCCATAACTCTACACTTCCAGTGGCTTTACCCTCGCTTTCCATACTTGAGTGCTTACATCCAGTTTCATAATCCTCCGTAACACATCCTCTTGACCCTGTACACTCATCGTTTTGAAGCCCTTCTAAACCACATTATTCTACCTTCACTGTGTACATCAAAACACCACATTCATCTGCTTCTCACTCTCTTTAGGATTTGCTCCCTTCATCCCCACATATTCCCTTCCCTGTTTCAAAAGGGAGCCCATTCATCCCTTTTTCATGGTACAGTTCAGTGCAAATGCCCTCCATCTGCCAAAATTAAAGTGTTAACATGAGTAAATGACATATTTCAACACCTGAGCACTGTTTACATAAGCTATGTACAAATTACACTTTCAGGCTTGTAGTCTTACCCTTTTTTCTCCATCCTTATCTGTTCATTCCTCTTTTCACCTCTATTTCAAGCTTACTCTTTTTGGAAAGAGCACAATCTTTATTAGTGTGTGCCAACACATGTACAATAATGACGATCGGTATCTAGTAATGCAAATGTCTTAAGACTTTCCACTAGAGGATTCTCAGATGCCTGTGAGATGTCAATTTAAGCATACATGTCACCAGAAAGCTGCCATTTTACTTGCAATAAACCTTCATTTGGGGTCTAGGTTTACTGCTTAATTTTCTTTCGTAATGCCTTATGAGTGACTCTTACAGTTCATTTTCTTCTCTATGAATTTCCACCAAATAAAAAAGGTAGGATTTCAAGCTTCAGATTTTAAACAAGACTTAAAGAGTTTAATTTGCCACATTCAAATACTCTGACTAAACTGAAAGATTTCTGCCAAAACCAAAAATTACAGTACTATGCAGACAGACTTAATCTCAGAACTATGAGAAACACACGCATTTCAATTAAACAATACCTTTCGGTGGATGAAGCTTGTGACCTGTTTTCTCACACCATCCAACAGGATGAATGTCTGAAGAATCAGCGTTCACCCAGAAATCATAACAATCTGGGTATCCATCAAAATGGAGCCGTATTCTGTAGCCACAAACCTAAAAGCAAGAATGTACAACATACAACGCTGTGTTTTAAAATGTTTGCCCTCCACACAACAGCTTCTGTTCAAGTATTATGTGTAACAATAGTGAGTTTTCAGTCAGCCTTTTACTTCTGCTAAAGCCAATACTGGATGAGTCAATTCATTTGATAAAAAAAAATAAAAACGCAAAGGTATTCTCAGTCCGAGTGCCTCCTCTTCCGGTAAAAAGAATTAACTAAAAGCTGGATGTTGCCATTACTGTCTAAAAACTTGAAAAACATTCAACCCAACATCAAAACAAAGCAGAAACCTGACAGAAAAACATGAATACATCCAATACAATCATGGACAAAGCACAGATAATGATGTTCTCAAGCTATCCCAATTAATATCCAAGGGAGCACTCAGCAATAGCTATGCTCAACAGGCTCTCCAGAGAAATAATGAGAACACTGAAGATGAGAAATGAGTGGAGGTATCACCCAGAACCTTACTGTTTCAAGAAGTAATAAGTTAACCACTGAGAGCAGGAGAAAAACAGGACAAAAATTCTCTGCACAAAAATTCTCCACATCTTCCTGAGTTATGAGAGTCACCAGTGAAAATCTCATGACATCAAAGTCATCCTGTTTTGTATTTCATTTATACTCTGACATAACTTTCAGTTTGCCATCTCAGAACTCTCTGGAATCCAGGTCACTCATCTACTGACATAACAGCTGCAAGAAAATGTAACAGACATCTGCAGAAATGGGATATGACTATGGGCCATGAAGAGATCCAGAAACAGGAACACAAAAGCCTAGGCTATTAGAATATGAACTGCAAAACTGCTGTTGCGTAGAATACAGTGACATAGTACCTATCTACCCCTGTTTTAATTCTAATTTTAATGTTTCCCTATTTTAATTCACAAAACAAAACCAAAAAAGGATCCTCGGTTAAACTATTTAAAAACTAAAGTAAGGTATGTTTGACAGGCACTTAAAATGTAACTGAAAAACAGGTTCTCATTTATACTCCTAAAAGCAAAGAAGATAGCCCTGAGAAAAAATATTTCATAAAGTGTAGCAAAACCACAAACTGCATTTATATTGTATATATTGTATACTGTTTATATTGTATATTAACTTGTAGAAGTTGCCAATACAGGCAATTTTGGAGGCCATCAGCCTGGAAAGATGATCGCAACTGTAATACAAGAAAGTGCCTGGTATTTGCATCAGTGAATGCAGCAACTGTAAATACTATCAAACGTCTATAAAACTACTACATATCAGTTGTGAACTTATGTTTTTCCTGCTTATTTTGTCTTTTAAATATAGATCTAAACTACAAGATTACAGAAAAATCATACACCATCCAACTAGTGTAATGCTGTTTCTTCTGGCTGCTTACGTTAAATACATGTAGACAGTCACGGCTGTATGGCATTGGATAGTCTTTACATGCCTGTCAGATAAATTTAATACAGTGTTATTAAGTTAAAAAACATTTTCCCACATACAATTTCTGTCTGCTTGTGAGGGCTGAATGAGCTCTTTCAGCTACTGCTGGTTTGGTTCAGTCTCTCCTGTAATTGCACACCATGGTTGCTCGCAGCCTCTACTTACCTCAGCCACTGTGAGAACACAGTATATCGACTGGTGCTCAGGATCCACACCCTCCAGCTTCATCCCTACTTTAAATCCATTTTTGTTGTATGGGAAAGACTGATACTATAATGGAAAAGAACAGTTTCAATACTTCTGAAACTGTAAAAGAGAAGGAATATCTTTACAAGGAAAAGAACAATGATTCTTATTCATAAATCACTGTAAAGTAAGTTTGATATTTTTAAAAACACAGTGGAAAAGAGAAAATGATTGTTTAAAAACAACCTTGATACCAGAATGACTTAAAACTTGAGAGTATGTAAGAAAATTATAAAAAATTAGCAAAAAGGTTAATTAAGGGAAAGAAGATTACATGATTTACTCTCAACTTTTTTCACTAGTTGTCAATAAAACATTTTAACAATGTAATATTTAAACCTCATAGCAGCCTTCTAGTATCTGAATGGGGCCTATAGGGATGCTGGGGAGGGACTCTTCGTTGGGGACTGTAGTGACAGGACAAGGGGTAACGGGTTAAAACTTAAACAGGGGAAGTTTAGATCGGATATAAGGAGGAAATTCTTTCCTGTGAGGTTGGTGAGGCACTGGAATAGGCTGCCCAGGGAGGTTGTGAATGCTCCATCCCTGGCAGTTTTCAAGACCAGGTTGGACAAAGCCTTGGGTAACATGGTTTAGTGTGAGGTGTCCCTGCCCATGGCAGGGGGAGTTGGAACTAGATGATCTTAAGGTCCTTTCCAACCCTAACTATTCTATGATTCTATGATTTTTCAGCCTGCTCAGTAACATTTTGACACCTTTCTGTCATCTTTCCCATTATAATAACAATGATGCTCTAGTTTGCCTTTCAATTTCTGCATCTCAGGATATGAAAAATGAGCTGTTTGGCAGAAATATGAGACTTGTTTGTATATAGGGATGGCCCCTTTGATGCCATTTTCCCCTTTATATGCCGAGTCCAGGTTAGCTAGTTTTTCAGGAATACATTTGCATCACAGGAACACGACTACCCTTGTAACCCATTACAACAAACCCAGAGGAATATCTTTCAAAGAAGATAAAGTGAAAACAAGGTTAAGCAGAACAGTTTTTTCAATTGGAAGGCATCACCATCCCATGTATCATGCTCCCTGCCCTCTGTTAAAGAAGGATATTAATGTTAAATTGGAGGGATTATCAGAAAAATAACTTAAACTGAAGAGAGAGTTTCTTTCCACAGGTTAACAAATTCACAGCTAGTTTTATGTCCCAAAAGGTTACAGGAAAATATGGGAGAAGCATCTGATGTGCCACTCCTTCCTTCTGTTCCTGTCTAAAAGCTATGCATGCTCCCTAGCCATCTGCAGTACCTCTGCAGTCAATGGAAACAGAATAGTACGAAGGGAGGTACTCAGAGAGGTCTCACCTACTCGGAAGGAAGCAAATCCTCTCTTTGGTAGCTTTGGCTGCAACTGCTATAACTGAATAATAAACCCAGAAGAAAAAAAAAGCAGTGCATGGCAGAAGAGCAGGAATACAGTCAAGAGGAACAGAAACGGAGAACCAGACTAGTTTAAATAAGCCTAAAGTGGCCAGCTAATAGATGTTTAACCACAGCTCTAAGTCCCTATCTAAAAATAGCTTAGATAGTTTTGTAGACCTCAGTTAAAGCATCAGAGTATCTGACTGCAGAACATGCATTTGAGAAGTTATTTCACCCAAACACCACCATACTTCATTATTATCAGTGAATGTTTAATGAAGTTACACTATGCATAATTCCAGACGCTTCCTCAAGAGGAAATGTGAAATGTGAAAGCACAGCATTTTTTTTTTATATTAATAAACTCAAATTTTTAAAGTTCACCTTGGTACACAGACTTGCAGTTAATGCCATCTGTATTGTAAATACTTCACAGATAAAAAAACTCTGGAAAACTAAAATCCTAGAAATACTGACACACTGCGGAACAATAGCAAAAAATGTAACCAACATTTTGCAAAAGCAAGCACAAATAAAATGACAAAGGAAGGAAATGGTTAAGTCAAAAAGTTGTTTATCCTTGCATTATTATAATAAACATTACTGTACAAATACTACAAAAATCTACAAACAAAACACTAAAAATTAAGCCATTATCACACATGTATTTCCTAAAATTTAAGACATGAATTAATCACTATTCTTTTCATTATCAAATCTAAAACTTCTAAGGCAACACAATCTGTTTTTCTGTTACAGCAATATAACAGGCAACTTTTAGAAGACTAGTAACTTTAACATTCTTCAAGAGATTTCAGTTTTGTGCATTACTCTCAGCACATCACCCAAGATAAAGCTATGGCAAACTTAGTAATCACACATTACCTTCACAAGAAACATTTAAAGACACTTTGTTAAGGAGAGATACAAGAACAAAATAAGAGTAAAGGTAATAAATGGCAGCCAGCAAATGAGGAGATGTCAAACTAAGGATCACAAATGCTTACGTATGGTGCGAGAACATACACAAACCCCAAAAGATTACACAAGGGAAGCTGGGGATTGAAATACCAAAATTCAGGGGTCGATAATTTTTTTACTGAAGCAGAAACAGCTTGTCAGTCACAGCCTAGAAATAACTCTAAGATTTAAGTACCAAGAAATGGCAAGGACTCCTACCCTGACCATTCCTAAATAAGGATATGAAAAAAGCACAATGAAAAATACTGCTCTCTAACTGGAAAAATAGAGAAAAAATAAGAATAATTCTCACAATCCAAATGGAAAACAATGATTCAAAATCAGTGGTGATGTTTGGGTTTCTTGTGTTGTTTTTGTTTGTTTTTTTTTGGGGGGGGTGGGTGGGTTTTTTCTATTTTGCTTGGTTTTTTTTTAACTTTCCTTTTCCTGTGGCTTGTTTGTGCACCTGTAGAAAATTACTTGGACACTTCTGAGTGTTATTAAGAATTCTCTCTTCACTCCACACTTTAAATACTGCACACTACATAAAACCCTAGAGTTACCCAGGAGCTAACGAATTTAAAACAAAATATGAAATGATATGAACTGAATGAGAAAGGTACACTGTGGAGAAAAATAAAGGAAACAGTACATCATCTTGTAACTCCAGACTTTACTACTACAGTGCCCAGAAAGGCTGGTATATGCCTGTGTGCCATCAAGAGCATTTCATGGAACTTCAGAGAGGCAGAGCAAAGCTCTGTAAATCTGCCTTCCAGATAGAGGCACTACATATCCAGATTCTTGTTAAATTTTCAACCAGTAAATAGCACAGGGGTATATAACTAAGGATGGTAAGCTAAGTGTCCTTCTTGCACTACAAATCTATGGACTCTTTACACTGCTATCTCAGTTCTTTATTTTTGTATGTCAGTAATGTCTAATAGCACCAATTAAAGGTCAGCATCACATGCACATGTAAACTGAAAAGCTAATCTCTGCACAAAAGATTTAACAGTTGAAGCATAAAGCAAACTAAGAAATGGATACAAGAAACAGACTACAAGTTTGAACAGAACTATCAAAAAATAATACGGGATATAATAGCAGAAGTACAGCAGCTGAGACATGTTCACATGTTTTGCCAGGTTTTGCAAGACAGGAGAACAGAATGGAAGCTTTGAGAATTTGCGTACAGAATTCTCTTCCAAGCAAGAGAGGCAGCTCTAGAGAAAGCACTGAAATGACAAATGACAAAGACTACCACAGCAACCAAAGGACAAGCAAGAGATGATGATGTAACATCCAATCAGATGACAGACAAATGGGAACAAGCCAAACCAGTATCTAATGTAATAACGTATGTCAGCAGGAGCTGCAAAAAGACAGGTAATATAATCAAAGCAACAAGCCAAAAGATTACCTTTGTATCCCCTTTCTAAATATGTTTGAAGAGAATGATATGAAATTAAAAAATGACTATGTTATTAGATGCTTAGCTTCAGAGATTAGAAGGAAAGGCTAGAACTTGCAGATTTTGGAAAAGCATCTGCTTTCTGTAGTCTCAGTTGACAGCATTCATCTGCAACTACAGAATTCTCTGAAAAAGCAAAGAAAGGTAACTAATTTCACATGTTCCAACTATCTTGATAATTGCTGATGGATAGCATTATTTTAATCATGTAGGGTTTTCCCAAGGAATTTTAAAATCTCCAAGTTAGTTTTTTTTAATTATTTCCGAGAAATTTCGTGATCTTAGGTAGCTGACTGACTTAAACTTTGAATGTCATACCTCTTTAAAAAGCTTAGTAGGTACTGCAATAGCTTTTTCTTCCTCCAGATAGGATGCCCAACACCATGCTTGCCTTCCTTTAGAGGATATAGCTGTAAAGAAGCACACAACAGCAAAGGAATGCTGTAACTGTTACTTCTGAAGAAAAACAAAAAAAAAAAACCTAAACAACACTTCAAAGTTTATAATATACCTATCTCAAATCTACATTTTATTAAATGCATTCATGGAGTTTCTCAGTACTTATTTCTAGGAAATAAGTATTTCTATGCAAACCAGGAACCTTCGTGTTCCAGGTGCTGCTAAACCTACAGAGCTACTTTTTTCTTAGAAATACTTATTTCTTATTAGAAATATTTCTTATTAGAAACACTAATTACTTATTTCTTATTAGAAATACTTATTTCTTATTTCTTATTAGAAATATTTATTTCTTAGAAAGAAGTAGCTCTGTAGGTTTAACAGCACCTGGAACACGAAGGTTCCTGGTTTGCATAGAAAGATTTCCGGCAACAGAAATTTGATTAGTAGTAAGAAAAAGGTCTTTCAGGTGACAAGAACAACTTACGAAGCCTTGCCCCCTGTCCTTTTTCCCTTATTGCTCATAAGAAGCATGAAGATATGAAATTTGCCAATGTGCCAAAAGACCAGTTAAACTCACAAAGTAGCTCAATATTTTACTTTTTTTTTTTTTCCTGAGAATTTCTTTGCCAGGAAAGCATTTGTAAATGGATGGAACTTGTGACTTTTTTTTTTGGTTTTTTTTTGATCACAGTTGAAATACTTGATTCTTTAGCCCTATTCAGAATGCTTCTAACCTACTCCATCTTTGTAGTTTGATGGTTTTGGGTGGAGAGGCAATGATTTAACAGTAATTCCTCCAAGCCATCAAAACAGTCACCAGTGCTTTCTTCCCCCCATCATGTTATTACCACATGACAACAATCTCCAGTTTCAGGTTTGCTTGTATAGTATGAATACTCACATACACTTGCATGGAAATTGTAATATTGGTTACAGTCTACCTTAATATTGGCTACAGTCACATCAGCGAGTAACAGCTTTTAGGCCTTGAAAATAAGGAACTAAGTACACTAGCAAAAGCCAGGAACTTCAAAACTAGATGGTTTGTGAGAGTAGCCATGTATGTATTTACTTTCATACACCTCTGCCTTGCTCTACTGATCTTTACCTAAGATGCTGCCTCTGCACATGCAGCTTAGCATTTCTGACCATAAGCTTATGCTGCCAGGAGGATTCCTCACAGTCAACATGATTTTGGATCGATCCTGACCATGGACTACTCAAAAGAGAAATAAGTCCCTTAAGTAACAGTCTGGCTAAGTACTTTTATAATTAAAACATGAACCATAACAATAACAATGTCAAACTCTCCTGAAGAAAGCTGATAATGTAACCAAAAGATAACAAAATTCAAAATGACAGTGATCGCTCAACACTATTAAAGCACATTCATCTTATTTTATCTGTGATTTACCCAGTTTTTATCTACACCATTTAAAAGATGTGTTGCTCAGCACAACACAGTTATGTGCTTGGTTCTGAATATAAATTGGTCTTTTACTCCAAATCTCTTGTGCTGAACTGACATTTTCCCAAATAAAAACAAACAGAAGAAATCTGTACAGATCATTGTCAGTGGACAGCAGTGATTTCCATAGAGCATCAGCTTTGTGCTTGCATCTCACAAGCTTCTTATCACACCTCAGCTCTAGAAACAACTGTAGAAATAATATTCTTATTTCAGGAGTAATTCTATCTCAGGGGGAGATCTTCCATAACTTTTATGTGCATCTTCAATCAGTATTTCATCTGCCTAGTGTGCAGAAGAGTTGTTTGGAGCTCTGTGATGATTAGTGGCCCAGCAACTTCTGGTAATGGCTCCCAGTCTACCATAAGAAACACTTTGCAGGGCAAGATGTAGGTTTGTGCTTGGTGTACCACGGAGGTATAATAGCTACTATTCTCTCATTCTTCCTAAAAGTATCTATCAGCTTGAAAAAACTGCACTCATTTAAAATATGTTTTATTATGCTGCCTGATGCAGTGTACGTCCCTTTGGACTGATTACAGCAATTATTCCTAAACAGTTCCACTAATGTGTCTCCTTCCAGCACATACGGTAGATACAAAATTGATCCCCAAGGAAACAAAAGTAAACTTTCACTTCTACTTTAATACATGTCTTTCAACATCTGGGAATTCAATGGGCCTGATTTCCTTTAATATTGACACTCTTTAGAAGGATGAAAAAAAACCCTAAAATGTGTATCAATTACACTTACACTCACTATATCCTCCTCCACGCTGCCAGAGGTATATAAACTGGTTCTTTGTAAAAGGTAATCAACCTCCAAGTGATGGGCTTTTTCCCTAGAATTCTCTCGGCTCTTGCAATTTTTCAGTCCTTAAAACTTAATTGCTATAAGTAACACTAATGCTCTCTTTTTACAGAACTGAACTGGAAAAAAAATGTATTCAATAGGGAATACAAATTCAGTCAAACAACGCTGGCAATTCACAATAAGAGATGGATACTACCTAAAGAATTGATAGCTGAGATTTTTATTTTGTAATCTAACTTACTTTGCTTCAAAACTGTTATTTCCCCTTTTCTTTTTCTCCTGGCTCTCTGTGAGACTCTCAAGATCCTTCCTTCAGGTTTGTCTTCCTAAATTAAAAAAAGAATATAGTAACATCATTAGTTCAGAAGTCTAGTACAGTAAAAGTGAAGACATCCAAGGTCTATGACTTCATTTAAATGGCTACTGACATAGCTCTCTGCTATTTCGAACCAACCTGCAGGGGCCTAATAAAAACAAAGCAAGCCATCAGTGACAAATCACAGCAAACACAATGAAAATGACAGAGGACTCTCAACTCCCAGCACTCAGCCAGCCAGCCTTGTCTAGACCAGGGACAGATCACAAAGCCTGCAGCAGGCCTTACTGCACCAGAGATAAATAGCAGTATCTTTGGTATGTTCATGCTGCCAAAATAATTTAAAAGAAAACCCCTTACAGCTTTAGTCTGTTCTTTTCAAATGTACAATTGGTTTACTAACTATAAAATGGCACTGATCCTTTTTATTTATTTCACTGCTTGTGTATTAACAGTTTTGTTAACTGCTGAATAGATGAAGAGAGTAAGTACCCATTTAGGAAGGCAGACACATGGAGGCAACAGAAGTATCCCCTGACTTTTGCCTAAGATACTGCTGTACAGACTGCTACAAATTCCCTTCCAACAACCCTACTGTCTTCAGCCTTTTGACAATTTGGCACTTCTAGAGCTCTCCTCTTCTCCCTCAAAACTGTGCTCCTCCCAGCAGTATCAGAGCTACTGGGAGGAAAACAAATATTGCAGGAAAACAAACATTATGGGAAGATACTGTGATAAGTTAATTCTAAAATGAAGAATAAATCCAAAAGGAAAAAACCAAAAGGTACCCCAGAAGACATTATACTAACATAAACCAGAATCAAAACTTTACCCACAATTTTCTAAGGCAAATTTCACTGAGAAAACCAAAACTATTCTCTTCTTAACTGCAATGTAGCTTTCTTTGTAAATAAATTATTGGTCTGTAATCATTTATTTATATGCAGAGTGACAAAGTGACAGGTGTTGGCAAATACGTACTCCTATTTTTCTATGCTGAACATATAACAAGTCTTAGGTTAGTATCATTTTTTCCTTTAAATTCTTTTTGTTGTTTTCTTAAGAAAGGAAGGAAAAGAGTTCAAAACCAGCTCTTATCAGTTCATTGTCAATAATTACAATTTACAGATGAGGCATAACTAAATTGGTAAGTGAATCAACTAGTTATTGTGGTGCTGACAGAGTGATGCCCTCACTTCTCTTTGTAGACTGATGACATTACTGACATTGCAATATAAGGCAAAACTCCCATTGAAATACTTGCAGGAATGGGTTTATGACGCATACTAACAGTTTCATCAGGATTCTCTTTCTTCTCCCCATTATCCCTGGACTCTTCTCTGAGAGGTAACTTTGCTTTTCTTTTCCGAATGCCTTTGGAATCATCTTCCCCATTGCATTCCACACTGCGCTTTTCCTCCTTTGGTTCTCTATTACAAGAGTAACACAGTGACACAAAGCCAATATTATTTCACTTCTCATATTCATAAAACAAGTAAACAGCGAGTAAATGTGAAGGTCAAGTTGGTCCCAGAGTATTATACCAAATATATTTTTAGAAATGCTACCAGAAATTACATCTGTCAGATGAACTAATCTGAAAGACACATAATAGCAACTGGAAAAAGAAAGCTGTCAGGTTACACCGAACAAGTTCTGCATGTTTTAAACAGTGTGTCTTTTCCCATGTACCATAAGGTCTCAAGGAGAAGCAAACTGTGAAATGCTCAGGACTGCAGGGCAGCTTACAGACAGAAAAGCAAAGGTAATTGTTAAGACTGACAAATCCAATTGGAGAAATTTGGTATATGATGTACAAATTGCTAAACATGCAATCAGAACAGAAAACTTTGAAGCAATCAGTTTATTTTGAACACTTCAAAGCAATTTAGCAATTAGCTAAAAATGAAGGAAAATGCACAAAACAAATCATAGATGTTAAAAACTGCCATAATACAGTAATATATAATACAAAATGGACACACTAAGACAAGCCTTCTTTTATGACGAGATTAACAAGCTAAAAGGAATTGAGAAACTACAGTATGTCCATGTTTTCACTCACTGTCATCTATAACATAGCTCTTGCACTTAATTATAATTAAGTTACCACACCAACCATCTCATTACTGATTATCTTAATTCTCATGATTATGAAACAGGGTAGGAGTCTGACACTGATTCATGCATCCCATAGACTGTTTTACCGCTTACATCTGACAGTAGAACACAGCACACTGAGCAAAAAACACTGCCTTCAACATCACTGTTTGACAAAACCAAATACTGTTAAAGCATTTACATAAAAAACAGTGGAAGAACATTAGAAACCAAAGGAAATTCACCAAAATGTGCCTGCTTAATATCTCCCTTTGATTTCATGCTGCATTTATGTCAAATTCTTTGTTTCTATGCATTATAAAAGCACCTACTTGTTTTTTACTTGCTGGGCACATTTCTGGCTGCAAAACTTTCCTTCGGAAACAAATTCTTCTATGGTACCATAGTGGTAACAGTTTTCACAGAAAACAAGTCCATCCATTTTTGCAGTTTCCTTCAACCTTGCGGGGAACCCTGTCTTTTCTGAAAAGGCTGTACAACGAAAAAAAATAACTTCACTTAGGTAGAGGTGACACACTTCCAACCATTCTCAGCAGGTCTTGCCAAGCAAACAGGAAAACAGAAGTCACACCACTCCTAACGAATTAAGAACTGAGAGTTAGTGTCTGTATGAGATCCATATTCCTGACAAGCAAACTGGGTTTTCATATTGCAACACAAGAGAGAGGAATCCACCAATTTCATGCTTCTGCAATCAGTGAAACATTGACACTGCTTGATGTGACTGCTTGTGGAAGGAGTGAATTTTGTGACAGGCACTGCAGTGACTGTCCAGCCATCACTGCATGGAACCCATCATCTCACCCCCTGCTGACACACCTCATTTTTGACCTGTATAAAAGGTCATTTGGGAAGAAGATTTGGAGGGGAATTATCTTTCAATATGTGAACTTATTTCTGGAAGTAAATCACTGACTAAATCTACAGTCCCTCAGAGCAGTAGCTATTGCTCAACCTGCCTGACACCCACAAGAATTAAAAAAAAAATCACTGATTTGTAACAATATTTTTTTCAAATACAAAGTTACTCATCCTAAACTACAATTTCTCCACAAGAGGTGTGTAGACTGAGAATGCAGTTTCTTTCACTCAAAGGCAAGTATGAAGCGCTGTAAAATTCTCCAGCTTCCCTATCAGGTCATTGACTTTGCATTCCCCCAAAAGGCAAATTTCAAGTCATAAGTCTTTAATTTGCTTGAGCATCTCAAATGAACTCATCTGTGTAGACTATCTCCACTAGAAGAATGTATCATTTATTGCTTTATTTTCACTCCAGCATCATTAGCGGTTCAAAACAACTATTTCCTCACAATGGAAAATTTCAGCAATATTTTTACTTTTGGAGAGCATTAAATTCATCAAGAACAGTGTAAGGCAGGAGCAGGATGCTTACTTGGTGTATTTATGTGTCCATAAACATACTTTAATTCAGTATTAGCATTATTTGTTTGGGGTTTTTTAGGATTCCCAGACCAGAAGTGATAATAGTTGTGCACTTTACTGCAGTTAACTGTGACCTCTCAATCTAAGGAGAGAACCTGTTTTGTCCTATGTTATCACACTGCTGCTACTCTCATCACAGATTTGAATCTTGAATAACTGTCACTGCCTTGGAGACAGACCTACAGAACAGAGTAGCTGTGGTCTGCAGCTGAAGACCTCACAGCTGAGGTCCAAACTACTTTCTCACTGGTGTAAATGTTTTGCCTATTCACAAAAGACAAGACTTAATGGTGGGAAAGTAGCAAAGGAAAACTATCACTGACTTTGCTTATCATGTTTATACTGATAATTATTAAATCAAAATTTTAAAGTCTGCTTTTCAAAGACCTTACAGAATGTGTATTTTAAAAGCAAATTGGTAAAATACAGTACCAACAAGGAAATAAACTAGGTAGTTGTAAGTAATCACAAAACCAGTTGTTATATTCTCTTTCTTACTACTTTTTCATTGCTGGAATCAGAGTATCAAGATTTTCAGAAGTTATGACCATGTAAAATCAGCTATCTTTGAATAAAAGAGGTGTTTCCTTAAATCAGAATTTTAAATCCAGGAAATACCTTATTTGGCAGACAGATACTACAACTATTAAAATTTTATTATTCAAGCTAAACATAAATGGTTACTACACACTAATTTTAATACTGTAAAAAAGCATAGTCAGCAGGAGCAAGGCAAGAGTGCAAACATACATTGACATCAGTGGTAGCAGCTGAGCAGCAGCCAGCATCATGTGAAGGAAGTTTACAGTGCACAGTATTTCAGTCACAAATAAACTGTAGGCAGTTAGTAAAGTCTGTGGGCAGACTGGTGAACTGGTTCAACAAAAATAACTTCTGAAAAATTCTCAGTAATTTAAAAGTAAGAAATTGACTATTTTGCAAATCTGAGAGAGGGGAAAAAACAATTCTAAACTTAGAAAAAGTTACTGTTAGAAAAAAATGTGACAGCAATTGAACTTCAGATGTTTAACAGTGGAATTACTTCCTTTAAACTTAAAATATACTTCTTTTCATACTTATTACCACCCCAAGAAACAAGCAAAATCAGAGATACCCTTTGCATTAGAGCAAATAAGGTTGGGCTTGTCCATTTGTTTGTTGGGTTTTTTTTTGCAGGGCAACCTTTCAAGAAAAACTGATATATTAAAATATAGTCTGGCACAGAAAATGTGTATCACCTCTTAACTGACCTTCTTGAGCAGTTGGAACCATCCAGGTAGTGGTAGCAGTTGCCTTTTTAACACTTTCCATCTCAGTTTCATCTGTAATCACTTCCAGGGCCCCAAATTCATTCACTCTAAACTGTAAGAAAAAACAAATGCCATAGAAAATAGTAAAAATTTACTAATACACTCTTTTGGCATCTTCTTCTATTCACCCAGATAATTTTTACAGAGTGTCCTCACCATATTACCTAATTTCTATGTGTATCTGCTTATCCCCAAGGAATTGGAAACAAGCCTTTCTTGTTTCTATCAAGCAAAATGCAAAATCATTTTGTTATCTAAAAATATTAATCTGCAATAAATAATGCTATAAATTGCCCCCACATGCATACACAATAATCCAAAAATCAGTAACAGAATTTCATGGGAAAATCTCCTAACTGTATGCTTTGCATTGCCAGCAAAACAACACACTCCACTGAGTACTTTTGTCGACGAAAAGGGAACTGAATGTCAAATACAAATGCTTCACAGAGTACAGAAATTTCATCATCATCTGAAAAGACAGTACTTCTCTGCTGTAAAGTGCGCGTAAATAAACATCTCAAGGCAGTTTATGAGCTGTTTAATTACATGCTGAACGTGGTATTACTGTCAGCCAGAAGCAAGGCTCAACAATACCCCACATGCTGCGCTGCTTACACAGGAGCACCAGGAGTTATAGCCATTCTGCTGCCAGCAGAAAACCATATTCCAAATGCTGTAATGATTACAGCACTACCAGATGAAAATAAACATCAGCTTTCCAGTCACTATGTTGTTTACAGGCCCAGCTGGTTACACATGTTGAACTCAAGGCAGCATTCTGCCCGATTGCCTGCTCTAAACATTGAAGGGGTTTGCCACAGAGGACAGGTCTCTAGAAGTGTGATGCTATCACTCCTCAAAGCTCCACAGCACCCATCTGTGAGAATATTCCTTAGGGGCAATAGTATGAAGCCCATTTCTATTTCTCTGGTCAGGCAACTTCACCTGGGGAAAATGAAAAGGGGAACAATTGCCTGGCATTATGCTGATCTTCTCTGTGCCTCTAGAGGCTGCAGGATGAATTGGACCCTGTTAACGTATAGTACTGAAAATAAGGCATTCTGACTGAAAGCAAAACTAAGCCCCATGTGTATATACCACAACAGCGTGCTTTCGTTAATACAGTCCTTCCAACTTCAGCATTTGCAAAGAACTGCTGGCTCCTAAGGAATGTGAACTGAGCTAAGGGGAGTGAGAGGAAGAAGAGGAGGACCTCACACAGTCATAAGACTTCTGCAGCCAAGATTTTTACTTCTGATGACAATGCTCAGAACAGGTATGCAAGTGTGGGTAAACTGTTGATACACCCATCTGGACTGAAAGTCCAGTTTAGCCTTGAACTGAAGGCAGCAACACCGTATGTTCATACTCCAGTTTGTGGAGAGACAATCATGCTGTTCCACCCAAAGAACAGCAGTTACCATTCAGAAGAGGATCTTTTTGTGTCTTACAGTTGACTTTCGTACCCAGCATAGTTCCTACTTTGGTTATGCTCATATTTGCTATTTGTTTACACTCATTTTTGTTATCGGTGCTTTGCTGCCTCTGGAATAAGTGGATGTCAGAAGGAAAACCTTTGTTGTTTCCAAAGGCTCTAACTCTGCAAGAGCTGGATAAGCAAATGGGCTGTGAGCACAGACTAAAACATGGCACTGCAGCCTACCAACTGACAGGACACAGGGAGATTACTAACTGGCTTCTGGAAACACTTGCCTGCACCTTCATACATAATCAGCCAGAACATGTGTGCACCAAAGGTATTTCTAAGCAGTCCAATTAATACCTATGATATTTCTGTATGATCTGATCGATGTTCAGCCCTGACACTAGACATATGTTCCTCCTTCACTGTGGTCCCCTGTGGTATGCAAGGATGTCACTCTGGCTACTGCAGTGACCTACCGGCCCTTCTCGCTTCAGATGACTGACTGACAGGCGTCAAACCTGATGAAAGGCTCATGACTGCAGGGAAGCCTGCTCCCAGCTACCCTTTCACTGGAGTGTGTTCATGGCAGCAAGAGCCAAACCATTAAGGAAGCAGCTCTTTAACAGCTGGGCTACCACACCAAGATGGGTGCAGCAATGGAGAATAACCAGTCAGCACTGCCTTAGCAAGCAGGAGAACATAACCACGCGGCAGCATGCTGCCTCATCTGACCTCTGTATCTCCTGCTTTTGCCCACAGCCTCAGTGTCAGAGGCCTCCAGCTCCTGTTTGGACACAGACTCGAAGGAGATATGCCTGCTTTCCTTCATTGCTTCCCTAATTAAAGCTTTAGCATTACTGTGCATGCTGAGCTCTCCATAGCTGAACAGAAAAATGCCTCAGACCTGCGGAATGGGACTCTGGCTTTAGCTGGTGAGGAAAAGCAATGAAAACCTTGTGACAGAGGTTAATTGCTTAAAACCAGGACAAATAGAGGTACAGAGCAGCACGCTGCACAAAGCTATCACATGGTAAGAGCTGCCAGAGCAATGTGCCAGCTAGTGTCTACTGTTGGAAATGTGACAAAAGGGAGCTACAGTAACGGTAGTTTATGTTTCTATGAAAAAAATTAGCACTTTTGTAAGCCTCTTCTATTTAGAAAGTAAGGAAAAAAAAAACCCAAAATGTTTCTTCTATTTTTGGCGACCCAAGCCAAAACATATTAACAGCAGTGCTCCCATATATTTCCTTAGGCGTCTTGACAGTCTGGAAGTTTGCAGCAGGTGATACAGAGGAAAGAAAATAGTGACATTGAGCTTACTTCTGAGGATGGATCCATAGCTTTCTGAGAAGTAAAAATTTGGGTTTAAATCACAGAACTCCTTAAGTAAAAGTGTAAATTTGCACTGGATAAAGGGATTTTCTTTAAATCTGTCTTCATTAAGGCAAACAGTAAAATTTCCTTTGATGGAAACAAACTCAGGCCATTATCAAATACTTTTAAAATGATCTCACAAAAAAACCCTGATTTTTGTCACTTCAGTGTTTAAAAGACAGTAAATTATAAAGCTTATGGGGTATGAATTTAATCCACTTGACTTTGACAAGTCAAATACTTGTTTGCAAATTTTAAGTAACCTCTTAAGAAGATAATTTTCTATGCCACCCAATTAAGCCAATGGTCTTTTAACACAAATATATCATAAACTGAGCTGGCAGGATGAATCCAACTGTGAGTTAAGTATACAACACAAACTTACTTAGCTGCCTTGTTTAAAAGTTTCCACGAGGACCAAAAGGGAATTAAACAGTAGTTTCCACCTAAACATCATTAGAGAGTCTTTCCACTCAAGAGCTGAGATACATTTTCACATTCTGAGGAAATGATGCCCTGATATACCAGGATTTCAGCTTATATGACAGTTAATTTCATCCCCAAGAACATTTTAATATTCATAGAACAAATATAGAACACACTGAGGGAAATGAAGGCTTAAATAAATAATAATCAAACATTATACTTTCTGAACAATTTCTTTCTACCCACATGGTAAGTTCTTCTACAGGGATCAAAATTGCTATGAATACAACCTTAGAAAAAACAATTAAAATCGTGTTAAAATTTACACAGGATAGGAACAAGTATCATAAGTCACTGAGATTAAGCCTTTGTTTACTGCAGGCAATAGTTCCACATAAAGTATTGCATAAATGTTTCAGTTGCAATGGAGGAACAGCCAGTTTTCTGTTACCAGTGCCTCTACTGAGTGTCCATTCCTGAATTTCTTTCTCAGAAAACCTTCTTCTAACTTTTTACATAGCTCTAGTACCCCAGCACTTACTATGGGTATATATTTGAAGCAAGGAATTATTACCCTGAAACTTAATTTTATTAGGCTGAGCACAAGCTCCTTCTGCTCTTCTTGTGGACTTCTGCCGTCCCTTTTCCTGTGGCTTTAGAACCTTTCCATTTCTAATGGAAATTCTTTGCCTCACCATGCAGGCTGGAAGGCACTCCATAGTTTTATGTAGAGGGAATTATATGTTAAAAGGGCTTTCAGTTCTCTTTCTCCACATTTCCAAAAATACGCTGTGCATTTGTCACTACGTGGGATAAAAATATATTTGCAAATAATGTGAAATGTCTATCATATTGCAGATTAATTCTTAGAAACTCAAACCTGTTGGGAAGAAATACATAAAATCTAGTTTCAAATTGAGTCTCCGCTGCTGCATATCTCTGTTTGCTGTTACTTGTGCCCTTTTAACAGTATATAAGGCCTCATCAGTACCCACAGAGATCAAATCAGAATAAAGGCTGCTACTGTTTCATACAAGATGAAAATGCATTTTGGGAGAACAGGCAGTAAGGAAAAGGAATAAAAAAGAAGAACAATCAAAGTGCAAAGGACAAAAAGGAAGAGAAAAACCAACGCATCTTAATGCATTGCTTTAAAATAAATTAAACAGCCAACAGTACCATCTACTGGGCAAGTTAAGGACAAAGAGTGCATTGCAATGAAGACAATTGTGTTGCTGCATTCTGACAGTAACATTTAAGAACAAAACTCATCTTGACCCCCGCAACAGTTTGAGTGTGGACTAGCTCAGAAGGGCCCTGCAAAATTTGTATTACCCAAAACAAAAGTAAATTGAGTAAACACTTTTATGTCCACGAAGTAACTACACTTAAAGAAGCAGAGTTATATAACAGTCTGCCAAGAGGACCGATAACTAGGACTCCACAGTGATACAAGCCAAAGAACTACACTCAGATCTCTGGTTAGCAAGCAGTTACCATCACTCTTGATTTTAATCACCATACAGTGATTTCAGTAGGACTGCTCAGATAAATCAGAGCCTTTCAGGCACTTTACAGCTCCTCCTCTCTTTAAAGCAGAGGAATTGCCTATAGACATTGTATTGTCCAACCACATTCTGCTATAAGCCAAACTATTTTTTTTTTACATATTACTTAAGTTGAATAACTTAGTAAATGCCAGAACTTGTCCATTCAACCATTCTCATCTTCTGTGTATGTGTGATAAAGTCTTCAAAGGCTTCATTTACATGATCACATACTATTTTTTTCCAGAGAACCCCTGCCTCAGGCAGGGGCTGGAT